GTTACTTGGTGAGGTTGAAAAAGAATTTGGTAAGACATGATAGAGTCCATTGCATGCTTTACCAATCCTCTTTGTCTTTCTAGTCCAAAGGTCTTAAAAAAGACATAGGTTAAGATACAAACTTACAAAGCAATGGTTATCAATAGTGAATTTGGCTACTAATAAGAGATTAAATTTGAAGTGAGATAGATACAACACATTACGAAGAACAAAGTTTGGAAGAATAATGAAACCTATATAAGTGATCGAAGTCACAGAGCCATTAGGTAATCCGACGGTAAGGTTATATGCCAATTTCAAATGATTAAGCGAGATAATTGAATTTACCAGTCATGTGTACATTAGCCCTCGTATCTACTATCCATATATCATCATGTTCGATTCTACATTGAGCAAGCTGCAGAAAAGTGTACCTACCATGTTTGCAGTGAGTGATGATCTTGAATGTATGGTCTTCTTTGCATCTCCGGACAACGAAATCAAGAATTTGCTTGGTGTTGTTGAGGTGAAAACACTAGTGCCAATGCCTTATTTGTAGGACCATTCTCCTCTATAACATGACCATAATAAGCCCTTGAATTGTTATCATACATCACAGCTGGTGTGGCATTAATATTTTCTCTAAGATAACTCACATTGTGAGCATTGAAAGACTTGTTTACGTCACCAACACCTATAACACCACCACCTCTCGCACCTTCTAATATTGCCAAACGGTTTCCTAAAACCATGTGGATACCCATGGAGCTTGTAACAAGTATCCTTCACATGGCCATATATGTGGCGATAATAACACACGTTGTCTTTTTGATATTACCTCATTGAAAACCGGTTCCTGCTTGAATTTGGTGAATAAAATGCGGTAGGTGTTGTAGGTACTGTAGATATGCCTCGCTGGGACTCCTCATTAGACACCATAGAGTATGCCCGAGAATAAGATGGCATATGTTGCATCAATAGTATTTGTGACCTCACGAGCATGATATGCATCATTCGGACCCATAAGAAACCGCATCACTTTATGTTGCTCGCAAATAAGCAATGAAGGGTCGAGATACTACGGTGTGATAGTGTGGACATATGCAAGTTGGAGGTGGAATCAAGGGTCTCATTGATCCCAAAGATGCCTTAGCTTCGAGTAATAGCTTGCCATAATATCCGATCCTTTGATTAAGGAATTAATATCCTTATGCAGAGAGAAAATTTTTGCTCCATGTTGTTTATCAAACCTCTATTTGAGATCATTCCACACATCCTTAACATATTGGTAATAAACCGGATCGTTGAACAGAGAGGCTAAAATAGAGTTAAGTAACCAAGCATGTACCAATGCATTACACTTCTTCCATTGAGTGAAATCGGATGAATCCGCAATTGGCCAAGGACACTTGCCATTAATGAAACCATCCTTACTTTTTGGTTCTAACGAAATCACCATAGCTTTACTCCATGAACTATGATCATTCTCTCCTTGAAGTAAATGAGTGACAAGAATCAAATTCGATGTATCGAAGGATGTTAAAACGAGAGGATCATTAAGATCCCTATGCATAGTAGTCCGGGTGAGATTAGGGATTGAATTTTGATTTTCCATGGTTTAAGAAATTTTCTCGAGAAAATTTGTGAATATGGAAGAATCTTGCAAAAGAAAAGGAATGTAATAGATGCGAATTCTCCTAAGAAATTAAAGAAAGAACACACGAACCTCGTGAAGTAACTACTCAAGATCTCAAGTAGAGAAGAAGACTTTCTTGGATGCTCAACGAGAGAAAAATCACTCTCATCCCATGCTAAGAAGGGAATCCGCAAAACGAGCTACTCGTGCTACTCATTCTTATTCATTCAATCAATATATATATATATATATAATGAGGATATAATCCTCTACAATGCATTAGTTTGTTATAACTATCTAACAACAGTAGCTAACTAACTAACAGAATGCTAACTGTTATTAGGTAGTTAATTAACTAATGATCTAAATCATAATTACATTCTTAATACTTTTTATGTTTGGATTTTCTGATGGGGGCCCATAAAAGTTATTTTATTTTTAAGGCTAGTTCCATTCTTGCATCCTATCTCTAGCAAAAAAATACATGATATTTATAGATTGTAGTTTGTTCCATTGAAAAATAAGCTTACGTTTTTAAAGACTGAAAAAAAGATCTAAATTTTGTCACTGACTCTTTATTTTTATTTGCTTCTTAAATATTATCAATTTCTTCAATTTTCATTTAGCTAGCTAGCAGGAAAAGACACACGAGACGTTGCAACAAGGTTGGATCTCTTTTTCAGAGCTAAAAAACATTATTCCGATCTCTTAAAAAAAAAAAAAACGGTCATATAGATTTGAAGTTTGAAAGACGCGATACCAAGTACCAACCGTTTCATTGCCAAAGGCTAGATTAATAATTAAGCTAATTTGATTATCCTTCATTCCTTTTTTTTTTTTTTTTGGGTTTTGGAGGAAGGAAAGCCATATACTTATTCTTAGTTTTACGTTGGAAACACTTTTCATTAATTAACCTTATATTGTAATTGAGTCAATTCACAAGAAGCAGAACACCTCTTATATTATAAACAAGTGCAAAAATAAGTCTGCTTATATGTGTGTTTTTTTAAATAGTTGTGTTTTGGAGCCAGGGGGACCGGGGGAGTTTCATAGGGACAACAAAACAAAAATGATGTCACATTCGTGTTTACAGTCACCTTGTATATAGTGAACTACTTGAGAGACTATTGTAGGTTTAGATTTCACATATTTATAGATAAACGAATGGTAGAATAGATTTTTTATTAAATAAAATTGTCTGTTCCTAGAAAAAAAACAAGTAAGAGTTGATTCTACTACAAAACATGAATTCATAATAAATACATAAAACAAATAAGTATAATATTCATTAAATACAAATAAATTCAAATATTGAACTAAGTATTACTTTAGTTAATAGTTTAGAACTGTGTAAGTTGCACTCGAATAATCTGACAAATTTATCTAGTCACATCATCAAGAGAAGAAATATTTTTTATCATAGATTCTATAGTTTCTTTGTTTCCATTATAAATGATTGCATTTCATGACGATTTGGTAGTAAGAATCGTACAATAAATTAACTTACTTCTCGTACTTATTTACTTTAATTAGGATCGTTTTTCATTATTATGATGTCTCGTTGGGTTATATCCGTCTCTTGTTAAAAGATATTTATGGAGTTGTAATTTTTAGACTATATAACCACAATTGTTTTGCTTAGACTTTTACCTTTCTCTAGAATAAAAATAAAAAAAATAAAAACAAAGATGGTGATTATAGATACTATAATTAGAAATGAAATTTTTGTATGATGATAGATGGGGACTAATAACTATATTATGGAAACTATATCTATCATTTTTTTTAAATAGTTGTGTTTTTTTAAGCAAAACTTGAAGTCATCCTTCATATGGAAAGTAATCCTTGAAAATTTTTAAAGAAAATTGAAAGAATATGTCTGCTTCTATGTATGGTATGTACTACGTACGGGCTTTTTATGTTTGGACTTCCTGATAGAGATTCATAAAAAGTTATTTTATTTTTAGGAATCGGTTCCCCATTGCATGCATATCCTAACTTTAATAAAAATAAAATAAAATATAGATGATATTTATAGGCAATAGTTTGTTTCATTAAAAACTAATTAAGCTTAATTCCTTTATTCCGTAGCAGATTAACTTACAAATTGATAGTCAATCTGAATGACAACTATGAACCGTCAATATATATACAAATTAATAAATCATTGCCAGAATTTCCACCAAAATCATCGATGAAAGGATTTAACGTACGTGGACAAACTTCAAAGTTCTTGCAAGGATTAACCCACAGCCATATCCTATTCATAATTGTATACCGAACACACTTTTCATTAATGTTTATATATATGGTAATCGAGTCATTCCACAAAATGCTAAACATGCGTTTTTATTTTTATTTTGTCTGAAGATGAGAAAAATAATTAAAAACATATTCTTGTTCTAAAATTATTACTTAGTAGAAATTAAAAAAAAAAAAAATAGACAAGCAAATTAATTTCAATAATTTTAAACACTCTTATTGATAATTAAGAGTCCAGGCTAGCTAGCTAGGACAAAAAACACAACCTCGATCCCCACTGGGAGGAGACTGTAACATTCCAAAAAGATGAACCCAAACTTGAAACCAAAAACAAGAAAAAAAAGATGCATCAGCCACACAAGACACTCAGAAAAACTCATACTAGAAGTAAGGATAATACTCAGTTTAGAGATCTAGGGAGAATGGGAAGGTGGTAGACCTCAACCAGCTACTACCAGTAATGAACTTGCGAGCAGTAAAACTTTGAGCCTCAGCTTCATCAGTAATCACCTTGTATCCTTCCCAGGTAACCCTTTTAGAGGTTCCAGCTCCAGCTCCACTGTTTTCGTACTCTGCATAGTATAATGTGTTAAGTGCAAATCTGCCCTTCCACTCGCGCCATCCAGCTGGGTTTATCACATCACTTATGGATGATTGCATGATTACTGTCCTTGAATACTCCTTCCAGGGTCTACCAAGATACGCTGTGAAATTACTTCTGACAGCTTGTAGATCGGAAGTGGCACGAATCCTACTTTTCTGAATTACAATGCCAGTGTTTTGATTAGGATCACTCCTTCCTTGGGCTGTTATTGTGATTATCTGGCCTGGATTGGGACGGCGAGCATGGATGTCACAGTTTTGGAAAACAGCTGCAGCATTCCCAAAAATGAAATCAATCGTGCCTGCTATGAAGCAATTTGTGAAGAATTGACGATTTGAGTGGACATAGAGGGTGTTTTGGAAGGCCAGCATGCCACATTTGTAGAATGCGGCGAAGTCAGACTCAACTCGAAGTGCCACGGCTTGGTACTTGGAGGGACCAGCTGTGTTTTGGAAGGTTATGTCCCTGGCTAGGAATCCATGACCCTCCACGGCTGCAATGTTCATCAAAACGTCGCATTCAATCCATAGAAAAAATTGAAAAGAAAAGGGAATTACACCCAGAAAGAAGGGAAAAAATCGACATACCAACAGTGGCAGAACGGTAGGGGGTGCTGCCATCAACCACATTCCTACTTCCTGTGATGATAGTTGTTTTTCTTCCATCTCCAAAAAACATGATGTTAGTCTTGTTACTTGGTACTTCCACATTTTCCCTGTAGACACCTGCTTTGATTTTGATAATGTACCTCTTCCTGCTGTGGCTGGGAGCAGCAGCAACTGCAGCTGATACTGTCCTATAGTGCCCACTGCCATCAGCTGCCACCACTACATCTGGAGTCAACGATGATGATTCCAACAGCCGTCTGTCACTCTCTGACAACCACTCTGGCCACCCTTCTTTGCTTTCATTGTCCTCCTCGAGCTTCCTGTTTGTGGTCTTAAGTCCATTGGCGATGGCGGTAGTGTCGTTGATCAATTTTGTAAGCGATGCCAATACAATACTACATTTCTTTCCAGTATCATCTTCACCACCAAAATATGTTTTCCCGCAGATCTTTTCTTTCTTGTGGTGAGAGAAACCATCCGTGCATGAGTTTTGGTCGGTTTGGCAATTACCTACTTGGATTTTGAGAGCATCTGTGTATGGTTGTTGGTGAAGAAGTTTCTTGTCGGGGTTGGCTTTGAGTGCCTCTGAAACCATGGCTAAATCAGCAAGACTCTTACTGTAATTGTCAATACAATCTTCGAGAGCATTCTGTTGTGTATCCTTGAGTCCCCTATCGGTCCTTAGGCACCTTTCCGCATTGGTCATTTTCTCTTTGATAGCATATTCAGTAGCGTTTATGTGTAGTAGAATAACATTCAATGGAGCAGCCAGTTTGTCGGCAACTCCAGGGACGCTGGCAAGAGTTGAGTAGCACAAATCAGGATATCTTGTGGAGTTGCACGAGGCCATTATTAGGGCATGAGCAGCAGCATTTTTGTGTGAATTTACACCAGCGACAATGGCAATTATAGTGGCAACTAGTAAGAAAGAAGCAAAAATAGCAAGGATAAGTCTCTTATTTTTCTCGGAGATGGAAATGCAATGCCCGGCTTGCGTCATTTTTCTGTAGGATGGAGATGCAGAGAGGAGAGAAAGGGAGGGGAAGTTGATGGACTTCTAGTGACTGTGTGGTGAAAGATATCTAGTTCACGAACATATATATAGAGGAAGAAAGTAAGTAATGGAAGAATATTAGGGTTATTATTTTAATTTTTATATATTATTAAAATTGTTTTTTATAATGATTAAAACTACTCCTAACATAAATTTTTTTTTTGAATTTCGTACAGTTTTGGGAATCGAGAGAAGCTTAGGGATAATAAGTTATTGTTAACGTGAGAATTCAAAGATTAATATAGCAAAACAACGAGAAACATTACAAAAGTTTAAATATTATGATACTTAAAAAAAAAAATTCGGTATAAAATTTTAAATAAATTACAAGTACGCGTTAGGTTACTCGTTTAATTTAAAAATATTATTCCAAACATATTTAAGAACTGTTTTTTACAAGTTAGCAATTATTCTAATGGTAAATATTTATGCAACAATTCATTTTCAACCCAAATATTTGATAATTTAATGAGTTAAAAGATATAATATGGGGGTATTTAACCTTACACAAACAGCACTAATCACATTGGTAAGTGGACTTGTTTCTTACAATGTTGTCAATTGAAATTCTAATTCTTTAAGAAAACTAAAGAAAAATATTTTTTATGAATACATTTGAATTGTTAAAATGATACGTTTAAGCATTATAAAAACTCAACAAGTTGTTAGTGTAGTAATAAATGAGTAGGTTTTCAGGAAAATTTCTTGCACAATGTGTAGGATAGGAATTTTGAAGTTATATTTATTAAAAAAAGTTAATTTTTGTTATTTTCGCTCTAAATATGATTTATCCTATCTTCAATGTAGGATGAGATATCTAAGAAAACCAAAAAATAAAAATAAATGATATGCTTAAGAGCTTAATTGTCCGATAAAATATAATTTGATAGTATTTTTAACAAAAATGCTTTATAAACAAAAAATTCTATGCGAAATATGTCAAGTAATAAGGGTAAAATATGAATCATATAAGTGATGAATGATTGATCTCTTACAATAAAAATTCTAATGTGTGTTTATATGAAAATTTTATATAAAGAATTTATAGTTAAAAAAAAAAAAATGTAAGAGCCAAGGAAGCTGGTGGCTTGATTTTCAATTTTTTCTTTTAATTTCAAGTGGATAAAATTTCCAGCACCTCGTGAATTCTATCTCTATATTCTTTTTCCCTTTTATTACTTTATTTTAAACCTTTTGTTCTATTCACTAATTTGGAACTACTTTACTTGATTCTTTTCTTCCTCCATTAAATAACTAATACAGCAGGAAGCTTTTAGACATGCACGTTAATCACGACATGATGAATGCAGCATACAACCTGTTTTTACCGGTTGGTTATATGTCTAAGTAATTCTAACTACTTCGCTTTTATTGTATAAAACATCAAGTATTCACTGATTTAATCATCGGCAATAGCCCCTGAATTTTATTTTTTCTCTTTGTGTTTTTAATAATTTCAGATTTATTTTTTAGGTCTGATGTTCGTAATAGTTTAAATAATTATCATTTTAGATCTATGTGATATAAAATCTATGGTTTTACTTAGTTTATTGTCTTCAATATTTTAAGGTTTTTCATTATTGATTTGTGTCGATCGAAAGTTGTTTGAAAATTTATGATGGATTGAAGAATGAAATTATAGTCTTAAATGGATTACAAGTGATATAATTATTGAATTTATAAATAAAATGAGGTTTTAACACCTTATTGCAAACATGTTACTTTCATCAATGAGGTCTGATAGTGCAACCGTTTCTCCATTAATAAATGGTATTAAGAGATTCTTGAGTTTAAAACACATGAAAAGAGTCATATATACTCTAAATCAGAGAATTTATTTGAAATTCCATGAAATGAAAAGGATGAGATGCTTCTGTGAAGGTCAATAATTTTTATTTTAACATGTAAGTCTCTTTTCATTCGACTAGAATCGTGCATCGTGCTTTTAATATCTATTTGAGTCTTATGAAAATTTAATCACTATGTACAATTTTCAGTATTAAGAAAATTATATTTTCCTATAAAAAATCAAGCATTCACATGCAAGCTTATAATCTCACTATTATCGTATTACATTTTTGATAAATTATATTATAATATCATTAGGCTTTTTTTTTTCCATTTATTAACGTGAAATTATAGGTTTTCCTTCTTCAGCTTCTAAATGCTAATTATTACTCATCATTAAATTATTCCAGTAAATTATTTTTCTCAGTTTAATATACTATATATCTAGCTATATAATAGTTTATTTGTTTGTTTAATTAGATATGATATACCGAATAATTACAGCAAAAAAAAAAAAAAATGTAAAATATAGTTTTACAATAATTGCTGTGCTCAGCAGGATTTTGTTTTTTCCCTCTCACTCTCAGCTTTATTTCTTTTCCCTTAGATACTTATTCAGCTTCATTCATTAAAAAGAAGTTGAGATGCTAAAAAGCAAATGGTTCAGATCTTGAGATGATAAAGAGGATTATCTATGCAAAAGTAGGTTGAGTGCTCAAGAGGAAATGGTGATGCAAAGTGCCAAAACAGTCTTCACAGCCACCTCTTTTGCAACATTTTTCTTCAACCATTTTGCTTGTGTTTGGTTTGGTGGACAATATTAGAAAAATTGAATTGAATCATCATTGATTAGATAATTATTTTGTTTTGCATTTGGCAAGCATTGAAAACTAACAAATAAATTAAGATAATAATTTGTTTATTATTTAATGTTTGTTTTTAGCGACTGTACTTGTTAAAGAAATGTTTTTTTCAATTAATAAAAATATTTGTCTTAACCACTAAGTGGTAACTCTGCTCGTAAGCAAGTCTTGACTTATAAATTAAGTTCAAGATTTTATTCTTGTGGTCAGCACTTTTAAGAATTTATTTTTTCAGAATACTCAAAGTCTTGCATTGGGAAGTGTTCTTAGCCACATATAAAAAAAGATTAGTCTTAAGGTGTATGAAAATTAGTCAAAGAACATCCTTACTGTTGAACCGAAAAAAAAAAAAATTAATAATAAAAATATGTCTTAAGATCACATGCAAATCAATTGGTTTTTTTTTTTTTTTTTTTTATCAATATACTTGTTTTTTTAATATGTTATCATGTCAGTAATTATCATAAATCTCTCTTTAGCATTAGTGCTTGTATCAATATATTCAATAATTAACACTTGATAATTAAGGCTGTTAGATTAAAAAAAAATTTGTTTTATAAAGATATTCTTCTTCTTTATTTATTTTATGGTTAATCAATTGGATAAGACTTAATTTCGTTACTAGCATCTACATCTTTACCAAATAGAGATAGGTAAGTCTGATAGTTAATTTTTATTTTCCTTACAATTTTCCTCTTTTTTTTTAGGTAAAAAATATTATTCAACAAAATATATATATATATATATATATATATATATATATATATATATATTTGAGTTACAAGCTATTTGAGATTAAAATATAAGAATTGATTCCAAATAATAGAGAAATCAATTAATTACTTTGGTAGTTTCATGACGAGTAAATACTTTTTTTCTTTTTTAGTGCTTTTTTTAGGATCCATGTCTTTTAAGTTTGCAAATAACTAACAATATATACTGAATCATTTAGTTTGAATGATCTTACACCATTTTCTATTCGGTTGTTTTTATATATATATATATATGTAAATAACAGTATTTATTAAATCATTTAATTAATTTTGAATGACAAAGACTTGAGGCAAATTATTTAAGGGTTTTTTTCTTTAAATTTTTTGAGATTTTTCTGCTATTCTTTAATTCCTTTGTTTTTTGTTTTTTTCCTGCAATATTGAGATTCGAGTACTAAGTCAATCATGTACCGTATGCAACTTATTGAACATTAAATGTTTGTATTTAAAAGCACACACATCTAACCTACCCGGATGGTGAGGGAAATAGACTTATTGAATATTAATGAGGCAATTTTCTTAAAATTATGCACATTAGGTTTATAAATTGTTATTCCTAAAATAATCACTAATATTAGTATAAAAAAAAATCTAAAATCTTATTTGAAAAGTATGGTCGAATTAGGTGTTTATTAAAATATTATTTTAATCCTTTTATTTCAAGCGAAATTAATTTGAGAATTTACAAAATTAAAACTAAATAAATAAACAAAAGCAAAAATAAAAATAAAAAATGGAAGGCTTGGTGCGTGTGCTTGGGCCTGGCCTGGCAAGCCCAAGCGGACTCTTGCTCCATTTTTTTACCTTTTTTTTTTTTTTTTTTTCATCCAAACACTTATAAAACTATCCTAACAACCTCCACAAACTCACTGTCAAGCTCAAAACATATTTCAATTGGCCCAAAAACCTCAAAAAAAAAAAAAAAAAAAAATCAAATCCAAAAATACAAATTATATTTCAAATTCCAATCTTTTTATAAAGAACAAAAAATTGAGGTTTGTCAACACTATCAAGCCATATTCCCCTAAATGCCCCAATTCCTAAATGCTCTCATCTCTCCACTATTAAGGACGAAAATGTAAAGTAGATGAAATATTATTACTTGATTGTAATTGGCCTTAAACTTAGAGATTGAAATGTAAGCAAAAACTAGAGCACCAATAAAAGCCCCTAACATCTTTGGAAGCCCAGAAATATCTACTTGCAAATATCATCTCCAAAAATATCTCATCATTCAGTTTTAGTCCTTTTGTTAATAAATTTTTACTAATTAAATAGAAAATTGACATTTTAGAAATTTAATGAATTTCAATCAGATTGTCTTTTGCATTCGATTTCACTTCTTTTCCTTAACCAAAAATAAAAGGTCACAATCAATTCCAAAAAGTAAAAGCCTGTAACATCTTTGGAAGGCCAATTCATTGAAAACAATGTTAAATTAAATTATAAATTAGTCCCCATAGTTTGACAAAACAAATCAATTAGTCCTCATTGTTGCATGTGATGGCCTATGATGTACCAAACTGGGTACGTCGCCTGGTTAATAAAAACGACACCGTATGACCTTTTAATAAGCCAACGCCGCTCTCGCTCTTTAAAGAGTTTAAAAGGTTTTCATCACTATACTTTTGTGTAACAATGGCGTTGAGACTGGGAATGGTAAAATGCGCTGCTGAAGGCAGCAACGGGTGTAGGTTAGGAGTGAGGAGATGGGTCCATGTCCCATCCATGGCTCCGCCGTTGGATGTCGCCTTAGAGAGCTCTATTGCATCTCCACATTTCACCCTACCCGAGTTCGATGCCAACCAAGACACCAGCAACAACGCTAGCGATTTAGGGTTCGGGTTGCCGGGTTTTTCCGTTGGTGGGTCCATGGAACTTATGGCTGTTCCTAAGAAGAAGGTAAATTTATTCTCTCCACTTCTGTTTCTTATTATTAAGCATTTGATTGCTATTTTTCCTGTGCTTATGCTTTTTTTTTCTTTGTGCGTTGATATTTAGGGTCTGGGTTTGGACTATTTGTGATGAATTTTGTGATAATTAGGGTTTAGGGTCTTAGAATAGATGCCTATCTGACTTGAAAGTCTAGAAATTATTATTATTATTACTTTATCATTGATTTTGAAACATTAGTGCAACAATGATTTTTTTTTTCTGCTTAGAAAATGGAGGCTTTTTATTTTCGTTTTCGGAAATGGCCATTTGTGTATTAACATTATATACAGACTGCTGTGCTGTCTGATTAGGATCGTTCAGAGGATTCGGAGCTGCCATTTTGTTTCAAGACTGAATTTTAAGTTTTGCAGTTTATTTATGATGCTTTTTTTGGATTTGAAATGCCCAAATTTAGAACTTAGCTGAGAAATAAAAGAACACAAAGCACAAGGTGTATATATCATTATGGAAGAATCCACTGCATGTGTTTTCCACAATTTGTAAGAGCTACTGGAAGCTGATGATCCCAACACATTTTAAAAGTCAACCTAGCCGGAAAACCTCTGCGAATTGCAACATTAGTACATAACTACATAGTAGGTATTGCTGGCCAAAACAAGAAACAAGACTACCAGAGAAATTGTGGTTTTACCATTTTCTTCTTGGGATGTTTTAAACAGTGATGAGAGTAAGCTTCTTCTTTTTGGGGGGTTTTGCTGCAATAGTCAGTTTGGTTCCATGCCTATAGCGTGATAAGGTTGACCAGGATGTTTTCAGATATTGGTCCATTTTATATTGGGGATTTTGCTCTCAGTAATCAGCATATCTAATGTGTTGGCCAGTAGAGTTTCTTTCATGAGCGCTACTTTTTCCCAGCTGTTTGATGATCCATACTTTATAAGTTTTTTTCAGTGATGAGGTATGTTGATGCATGACTCTCTATACATTCATTCTCAGTTGAATAGTAATTGCTTCTCATATGCATGAGTATGGTGTTTTAAGCAGTGAAATCTGTTCCTGAGTGTGTTTTCTTTTACATGTTTCATTGAATTGGTGTTTTCTTTTCTTTTCCTTTTTTTAATGTTCGGTGGTGATTCTTAAGTCTTTATGATCGTGCAGACTACTCCCCATAAGAGAGGTATTCGAAATGGGCCAAAGGCATTGAAGCCGACACCAGTGATTATTCGCTGCAAGTAAGTATTTGTCAATGATGTTGGCTATTTATGGAAATCATTATATGAAGCAAAAATTTGACAGTTTTATATTATGAAAACCTGAAAAGATAAAACTCTATAGAGACACTGAACCAAAGAATTCACAATACAAGTTGATCATCCCATCATCTCACGACTAAGGCTCTGTTTGTTCTACGTAAAATATGCATCCATAAAATATTTTTCTCACTTTCTAATGTTTGGTTGACCTAGGTGAACCTGCTCAATGGGAAATATTTTCCTCATTTCTAACGAGGACATAGTAATGAATAAATTCATTTTGACTTATGTTATATTTAATTGCATTCAAATCTCGTAGGCTGTCCATCATTCATTTTCAAAGCCATTGTTAATTCTTATAACTACTGTTTCTAAAATTGAGGATGTTATTTGTGCTTGATTCCAGCTCCTCCTCGAATATTTGCCTATGAGGACAGAATATGCCAATGCCTTTTAAGTGATGTTCTGTAATTGATTGTTTCATTGCAGGACTTGTGGTCAAGTTAAGCTGCCGCACTTCTACTGTTGCAGTGGAGACAGGGGGGATAATGGTGAGCGAAATAACTAAACAATCTGATATGGTAAGCGAAATAACTAAACAATCTGATCAATGATAACCTACAGAGCCAAGTATTTAGTCTTCTATTTCCATGGTTTGAATTTACGCAGCTGAGCTGTTAAGAATTGAATCAATGGTCTTCTTGTAGGAATTTGGAATGCTTTGTGTTTGTTGAGACCTAATGATTATATCTTATTTCTCATCAGACTATTTGGACAATTTTGGTTGGATGCCTGTGCATTCGTTTATATTTCTTTTCTTTTCTTTTTGTTTTTGTTTTTTTTTTTTTGTTTTTGTTTTTTGTTTTTTTTAATCTTTTTTTCCCAATGGAACTCACCAAACTGCCATTATGTTTTCCATCACTTTTTTTTTTTTTCCTCATGATGAGATAGATACATAAATATACCAATAGAAAACAAAGATGAGAGAAAATACAAATAACATCAAGAAAAAGGGACTCAAATTTCATTATTAATTGCATGAAACAAACACGTGGAAGGGGGCGAAAGAGAATTAAACTCTTTGAGATGTCAATTATAGTTTGTAAAAAAATCAACCGTTGATAAATACAAAGGATCATTATAAATCAATCATACCTAAATTATATTTTTGTCATTCCATTACTTATTTTAATTTAAAAATATTATATAATTATAATTTTACTATCTTTTTTCATGATAATGATTTATGTAAATTTACGACAAATAATTAAATAAATATTTTCAACATGAAATATGATATTAACCTATATAAAAATCAAATGATCAACTCATTTCTACCCATATTGATTATGGATTGAACTTTTATCATAATTTTGCAAAGATGTTTTAATTTTCTCACATATCTCCAATGTTTTGAACAGATTATTGTTTTCATCGAAGTCAATCATTTGAAATTCATTGAATCAATGTACAATTTTTAATCCAAGTTAGATAAATTGCCTTAATCAATTTATTTATTTATTTTACTGAGAAATAACCTTTATTTCATAGATTTATATAGCTTCAATGTTCCATAAATTTATATAAATTTATATAAATTCAATAGCAATCCGACTAAGCTTATATATATATATGTTGTATCATACTTTTTATGTGTAAATTAAAAGGAGGGTAGTTTGCGTAATTAAACGCAATTTTTATGCCTTGATCACACGTTTTCCTTGTTTTTTTTTTTTTTTAAAAAAAAGAGAGTTAAAACTCGAAAAGAAGTATTTAATGTGATGCCTTCATCTCACAATATTTCATTGTTCATAAAACTCGTACGATTCCTCTATAATAAGATGCTTCCTGCTCTTATAATCGATTTTTTCCCTTTTATTTTCACTTTAATGAAAGGCTACACACTTTAGAGTAAATTATAAAATTAATCTTTTTAATTTTAAAAAATGAATTAATTAGTTCTTGTTTCCAAAAAATATTCTTTAGTTTTTTAACTAATATTTATCATATTTAATTTAATATTATTTTTATTCTACAAGATGGTTTCTTTTCTTATCAATCTTTCCATAGTTTTTTTCTTTTTTTATTTCTTAAAACAAAAAATCAAAGTAAATTGAAAAAGAGCAAAAGAGATTAAATTACAAGTAGAGTTACAAACTTAGAAACTAAATAATTAACTTTTAAAACAAGAGAGACTAATTAATTAGTTTCTTAACTGGTTAAAACTGGAGGAACTAATTTACCATTTATCTGACGCTGGAACCTGAAGAGGGTTAAAAAAAAAAAAAAGAGGCAGAATTGGATAATTATAAAAGAATGCTATTGATTGTAGTCCAGGTATAAACATAACATGGCAATGGTACTGCAGCAAAGTAAAATATTGCAAAACTTGCTACGCATTTTTTGATGTTACCACTATAGATTACAGTACAATACTAATAGCTGCACTTTTGCAAAGTTCTTTGAACCCATCTAGTGCAGTTCCAATTTGTTACACCCCATAGGTGAGCAGAATTTCATCGAAGGCAAAAAGAATCCAATAAAACAATGACCTAGACGAAATTTAGATACAAACCCCCTTGGAACTAGTAATTTCAACCTGAGCTAGAAACTGCTTCCTAAAAACGTTCTGCTTCACAAGCACAAGCCTTATCTTCGTCGTCAGAGAAACTGGGTGCTTTTGGAATCAAACCGAGAACCTTGAACATAAGTTGATCAGCATCATAATCGTTGTTAGGGGTTGTCAGTAGCTTCTCGCCAGTGAAGATTGAATTTGCACCAGCAAGAAAGCATAGAGCCTGCTCCGACATTGAGAAACGCACTCTCCCAGCCGATAATCTGACCATTGCTTTCGGCATGACTATACGTGCAGTGCCAATCATTCGAATCATCTCCCATATTTCAACTGGCTGAACAAGGAGGTAGAAACACGAAATCCATTAAACCTTCAAAGCTAACTGATACAAAATTTGGAAAGACAGAAATCTCATGATGCAAATGTAGACAAGCAACTAAGTTGTAGTGCAATGCTTTCATAAACCAACAATGAGTCAGTGATGCCTCTTTATTAATATCTGGGTAGATAAATGGTAACACAATTGCCCTGTCTTCCCCGAAAATGAATTTCAGTTCTACTGTAATAAACCAACTTGTGATTCAAAAAGCAATGGAGCTACCACTAATTAATAGATTCTATGCTATATGGCATGGTTAACAAAGCTGATGCACTGTCAGTATCTTGCTTGCTGAATCGAGAACACAAAAGATTGAGTGCGATTCCTTCTAGAGTTTCTCAATAAGTTAGTTGAAATTATTGGTTCCAGATTCTGCAACTAAAGCAGTAATCAGTTCATAACATGACCACAGTTTTAATAGTTAATTTCCTATAAGAAAAATGTTTCTACTTTCTATCCATCATTGGTTCTTGAGAAACAAGATCTGAAGAACAAAGATAAATTGACAATCTGCAGTAAAGGATCAGGCACAGTCATTATTCTTACCGCAAAAGCAATCATACTCAACTTGTATCAGACATGAATAGAATTACCTTTTGGTCTTGTAGAGGAGTGCCTTTCACTGCAATTAACGCATTAATGGGAACACTCTCTGGGTGAGTAGGGAGGGTTGCCAATGTATGCAATAAACCAACTCGGTCTTCCTCTGCTTCTCCAAGCCCTATTATGCCTCCTATTAACACGAAAAACTTCCATGATAAGAATTCATCTTTTCCATGGCCAAAGGAATTAATGTCTGAAATTTAAAAAGAATGTGCAATTGCAATTATTGCACATCTCCATTGTTTAATGTAATGATGCGTTGTTTTTAATGTAAGGATTCACTTGAAGTCAAGAAGTTAGCAACTTCCCATAAAAAAACATCATAAATTGGACCAAATTCCAATTTCCCTCTAACCATCGATCAAGTTGAGCTTGTATTTTGATACAACTGAAAGACTTAAAATGGCACAAATGAAAAGCGAAAAAATACCAACTAAACTGTGTGCTTTATGCTCAAATTGCAATTATTGCCTATCTCCATTGTTAACTCCAAGGAAATCAATCAATTTAAAATATTCCCATTCCTTTTTTCTTCAGTGGACTTTGTTTTTCAAAATCTGCTTAAGAAGAAAGATGCAGAAAAGTCGATCCAATCACCTGAGCAGATGCTAATTCCTGCTTCACGAACATGTTCAAGGGTTTCCAAGCGTTCGTCATAAGATCTCGTAGTGATGATGTTCGGGTAATATTCTCTTGAGGTATCAAGATTATGGTTATAAGCTGTCAGACCGGCCTTCTTCAATTCTACAGCCTGCTGCTTCTCTAGCATGCCCAAGGTGCAGCAAACCTCCATGCCCATATCCCTGACGGGCATCAGGCATTTCAATCACAGACTAAACATTAGAGGAAAAAAGAGCCAATGTAGCATTTTTCATGAAAATCTGTTTTCCAACTTAAGAAAAATGCCTGCTTTCATATATTTCTTCCATAAATGATGTGCTCATTACCTGATATCTTTCACATAATCTAAGATCTGGTTAAAGTTGGTCTTCCTTCCTATCGTGTCTCTCCAAGCGGCACCCATGCAAAAACGTGTGCTACCTGCCTCTTTTGCCTGCAAAAGCATACAAAAGGTTCCAGATCATACCCAAAGAAGAAGAAGAAGAAGAAGAAGACAAAATGCTACACTAAACATGAAACTGATCAGATAAAACTTCATTATTATCTGATAGAGGCACTATAGGTCTCAAAGGAAGAGAAGAAATTAAATTAATGAGCAGGTGTTCATCTAACAGCAACATTCAATCAAATCACAAAACAAGAAATTGCACCAAGAACATGAGAATTCATTCTTAAGGTGTAATCTTCCCTTTTCAGCTACTCTGCTACTTGAGGTTCGGGGATATTCATGAAACATTTATTAGACCCCAAAGCTAACCAAATAACCAACCAACTTGTTGTCGAGCAATAAATGTTAAAAAAAAATCTAGTGCATTTCTGTCACTGAGAATCGTTCAATTCTAGTACCAAATTAACAAAAACAAAACAATAGAGATGATCTAAGAACAATGAGAATCAGAAGGTGTGCAATTCAAATCAATCAATTAATAGGTTGAATTAAGAAAGCCATCTAAATGAGCGCAGATTTTCTTTCACAAAATTGGAAAGATAATCGAACCACATAATAATCAAAATCAGAGATAAAGCATGATTTTTTTTTTTTTTTTTTTTTAGCATAAAATGCCATCAGCATCAGGATGTGTCTAATTGCTGGAGATTTTTTGAACCAAAATACCATAAATCAAAAGGCTTAATAAAGATAAAAAGAACATACCCTTTTAGCAGCCGCCATAACAGTTTCCTTAGTCATGAGCCTCTGAGCCTTGACTCCAGTACTATACCTTGAAGATTGAGGGCAATAAGAACAATCCTCACTACACCCACCAGTCTTTATCGAAAGCAAAGTACATTGCTGAACTTCTCTAAAATTATGAGCATATCTATGAACTTGAGCCTAACAAAACAAAACAAAACAAAACATTAAACCCAACATAAAAATTAAAAAAAAAATACCCCTTTTCTCCACATTATTAAGTAAAAAGAACTAACCCCATGAAAGAGGAGATCAAGAAGAGGAGATTCATAAACATCCTTGATTTCTGGACGTGTCCAATCATTTCTTGGACCATCTTTGATAGTTTTTTCAGCTTGAATTGCTGCAGCTGAAAATGGTGAACAACGTAATGAGGAGACAGCGTGAGAATCTAGTCTTAGCTGTGCTCTAAATATTGATCTAATTAACAACATTGTTGCTTGTTTTGTGTTATGGCGTTTGGTTCTTGTTTTTTCCTTTCGTTAGAAACTAGGAGGAGAACTGTTAATGGAGGCTTTCGCTGTTAGAGAAATGGACACGCAGGATGAAGAGTTAGATGGAAAGAAGGAATATAATATTGAAAGGCCACCTAACCCCCAACGGCTTAAGTTTGGTTTGCTTTTTGGGTCGATAGCAGAGACTGTTTGGCTGCACTGGCCAGCAACCATGGTTAGCTTTCGCGTTCTAGCTTCTAACTTCGAGTAAATTATAAATTAGTCCCTCTTCTTTTAAAAAACGAATTAATTAGTTTTTTTTTCTTTTCCCCCAAAGCTAATCATGTAGTCTTTTATTGTTAATTTTTTGCCAAATCTGTAATTCACTAAAAATTATTTAATATATATATATTGGTACTTGAGAAAGAGAAAAAAGTGGAGATCAATAAAATGAAAAATAGAGTTTTGAGGAGAGAAATGTGAATTTGTTTTGGGTACTTGTGAGGTGAAAAAGATATGAGATGGACGTGAAGGATAAAAATAATACATTAAAAAAAAATTAAAAACAAAAAATACTATTGTTTTCATACATATTAAATTACGAAAATGTCAATATTGCATATTTTATCTTAATATATTGTTTTTATACTAGTGCTTAAAAATTATTATGTAATGTTTTGATTTTTATTTTTTTATTTACTTATATCACTCGTGACTTTCGATGTGAAAATATTTTAAATTAATTTATTTTAATTTTTTTTATAAAAAATTTTAAAATTACCAAACGTTTATTGATTTTATTTACATTACAAACTACACCGCATAACACACATAACACTCATAATACAATATAACGAAGACATAAATATCTCACATATTGAATAAATTAATGTTGAAACTTGAACATAAAACCTTGTATTAAATGAGTTTTGTTTTTAGCATTTTAACCAATAATTGTCTAACATTAATGTAAGAGAATTATCTTGTACATGAAAAAATTATATTTCTTCTTACATATAAAAGTAGGATTCAAGTATAATTTTTATAGTGGGTTTTTGTCTATAAAATAAGTGTGAGTAGAAAATAATACATAAATACTTAGTTTGTTTAGCTCGTGGGTTACATGTCAATGGCAATATTATTTTTATATTATGATAATTTATCTTTCATAATTTAAAGAAAACTATAGTCGACAAAACCTCCAAGAAAACCTTGGGCCCTGAGCCCAGAAATCCTAAATTGGGCCTAAAAGCCCAGATTATTTTTTCCAAGAGAAGTACGAAGTTCATTGCTCCATTTTCTAGCATCAGGAAACAAGCGAAGGGAAAGAGAAGGAAAGAGAGAGTGGCAATAGCCAATACGCAGATGAGTGGAAGCAGCATAAACTCAGTTTTCTACGCAGAGACATACCATCCAATTCAAGCCGGTAGTATTGACGGCACCGACACTGCTCCTCATGATAACGGCGTTTACCGTGCTCTTCTCTGTTCCTCCGCCGGTCTCTGTAAGTTAAACACAAAATTTCACCGTCGTCGCCACAATTTTTCACTTTTTTTTTTTTTTTCATTTTCTCTCTCATTAACAATTTCATCTTTTGCAGATGACCCTTTTGGAGATCCTAAGGCCATCGGTGACCCTTACTGCACTGTCTTTGTTGGGCGCCTCTCTCATCTTACTACCGAAGATACACTTAGGAAGGTGAAAGATTGTGTGTTTTTCGTCGAATTTAATAAAGTTTTGATTTTTTTTTTTTAAATTACTAATAGCGTTCTTATTGTTAGGCAATGAGCAAGTATGGTAAAGTTAAGAACTTGAGATTGGTTAGGCACATTGGTAATACTGAAAACTGTTTCTTTGATTGGTTTTTGATATTGAGTTTCTTTTTCTGTAATAAAGCTTTGATTTTGCTTTCATTTTGTCTGATGGGGTTTTGGTTTTATGTCATTGGTTTCAATTTGCAGTGACTGGTGCCTCAAGAGGCTATGCCTTTGTTGAATTTGAAACTGAAAGGGAGATGCAGCGTGCATACATGGTTTTTACATTTTGTCTTGAACTAGAAACTTGATGTGTTGTTCTGTTTTTTGGTTTATGACATCTTGCAGTAGAAAATTAGGCTGTCAATGTGATGTTTGTTTTGTTTTTATGCTATGTAGGATGCTCATCATTCGTATATTGATGACTCTGAAATCATAGTTGACTATAATAGGCAACAATTGATGCCTGGGTGGATACCAAGAAGGTTAGGTTAGTTTGATGTTTCCTTGACTTGCAGAGTTTTGTTGCTTATAAAGACCGAACATATAAAACCTTTCTATATTGTTTATCTCTTCATTTCTGATAGGAGGTGGCCTTGGTGGTAGAAAGGAGTCTGGACAGCTTCGGTTTGGAGGCCGAGAAAGGCCGTTTCGAGCTCCTCTGTATGTGCTGTTCAATATTTTATTTTCTTTGTTGAATTATTAGATAAGCTATTTTTTTCCCTATGGATAATAATGCACTGTTTGGATTGTTTTCATTTATCATCTTTGGTTTGTAACTCCTTGGATTTCGTTATTCACCGAGTTTGGTTGTATACTGTTTCAACATTTTGTATTGATGTTTGTTAGGGAGATGCATTGAGGGGTATGGCATGGTATGGGGGAGGATTGAAAGCACTACTTGGTGGTTTGTAATATGAAAAGATGAACAGCAAACACAAAAATTTTCTTGGGAAACCAAAGTTGTGCTTTAGTTCCTAACTTCATCTGGTTTTAAAATCAACAGAAGGTTTTTCTTTTTGTTTGTTTTGAACTCTACTACATAAATTGACTTCTATTCCTTGGTCAGGATTTCTATGTGAAAAAATGTCATTCATCTTCTTGGAAAACAAATGGATCGTAGTAATTTTCTGGAACTGTGAACAATATTGACATAACTACAACAATGCATTGACAGCAGAATCTCACTATCGATATGTTTGCACAAGCACACATATTGCTGTTCTTGTTGTAGATTTTAGCGAGACCATGCTTCAAGGTGGAAGTTAATTATAGCAGATTTTTCTGTCATCAGTTTTACGTAGAAGAGTGCTTCAAAGATGAAACCTTGAGCTAGTCTGAGACTGCAGTTTAGACAGGTCATGCCCCATTCCAGCTTGAACAGTGATTTAACTTGACCATAGTCTCTTGGACACAAATTCTGCTTGTTAGAAACCAACATGAGCTGGTGTTGAATATAATGAGGGTGGATATGTTGGGTGACCAGCGTGACCATAATTTGCATACTGAATTGCATTTGGGTTCTTTTTTTGCTTTCTGGTTTAACAATTGAAATCTAGACATTAACTACTGGTTGCAATTCCATTATTAATTGCTCCTTTGCATTGATGGACATCGTGCTTCAAGTTGGATGCGGAAAAGATAAGGATTGTTTTGGTTAAATACTGAAATGGTTCAAGGTTGCTTGTTGGGAAAGCTGAATTTTGCTCTTATATGATTTAAAACTGTACCATGCTCTTATAATTTTACTGATTTACGCTGTTCCACCATGCAGTCAAACTATTCCATATGATGATTTGAAGAGGCTTGGCATTCCTCCTCCACCAGAGGGAAGATATATGTCTCGCTATGAGGTATTATTCCTGTGACATTATCATGCCATATCTTGCATTTCGATTTATGCATATAGGAGAAGTTAAACTGTAATGTAATAGTTGCCATGTTTATGAGTCTTGATGATATTCATGATTAAGTATATCCTTTCTGCTTTCTTAATAGGTCAATGTTATCAGAGCTGCTGATTTTTACAGTTTTTTTTCCTTCTTTGTTTAATTGTATAGATTACCTATGCTATCAATAATCACCAGAAAAGGCGCCTTGAATTTTCTACGCAAGAATAATTAGATTCATGTCAGGATACCTATTACAGAAATGTGCTAATTTTCTTTTCGTGCATTGTCCTGTTGTCTCAGGTCCCATCACCCCCTAGAAGAAAATGGAGCTCCAGAGACAGGGAAGAAAGCTCTTGCAGGAGGAGCTCCATAGACAAGGAAGAACACAGGCATAGAAGTAGATCTGTTGAGGTCGAGGAATCCTATAACAAAAGGAGCTATAAGGACAAGGAAGAGCGCTATGGTGAAAGACACTTTGTGGAAAAGGAAGAACGCCACTACAAAGGCAGCTCCATGGATAGATCAGAGCACTCTCGCAGAAGGATCTCACCAGAGAGGAGTGGTTACCATCACAAAAGGAGCTATTTAGACGGGGAAGACCACTATGACGACCGAAGCCCTGTGGATATGGAAGAACCCTCCCGCAAAAAGTTGAGAGAAAGGGAGGAGCGCACTCACAAACGGAGCTCTAGGGATAGGGAAGAAGGTTCTTGCAAGCGACATAAACATGGTGGTTCATCTGATAAAAGACGCAATGAGGAGGTCTAGTAGCCAAGATTGCTCTTTAACTCCCTGATTGTTCGCAGGTTGGCTGCTTATGCAATTTTGTCTTGAGAGTAAGAGACAGGATCTTCTGGTTGTAAGATCTTGTTTTCAAATTTTTAAACCCTGATATGCTTAGAAGACTCACATATGCTATTGGATTTATCATTATTAATTTTGTAAATACGATTATTTTTTAAGAAACATAGTTGTCCAATCAACTTGGCATTTTATGCCACAAAATTATTGAATCAAGCAATGAGATAGTGTTTAGGGAGGGAGCGGGGAAGCAGAGGGTAAAGATAATTTCAAGACTAGCAATGTTAATTGACAGTTGTGAAGTGAGTAATCTTGATCCTCACAAACTCTTTTGACATTTTTATCCGAATGGAACAGAATCTCTTATCCAAAACGAACAGAACATGTTGAGTCGAATCTTTTTCACGTAAAACTTGTTTTTTTTAGGTCAGAAAAATCATATGCTTTTTTGAAACCATGTGCTGTGGCTTGATTACGTCATCATGAATACGTAATCAATCCTATTTTCGATGGGAGCGATTGACAATTGAATCCAATATTTTCATTATTTTCATATCCGTAATAGTGTGAAAAGAGGGTTTCTAGACTCTCCCTTTGACTTAGGATTAAACAATTTTAAAAATACATCTTTTGATATTAATTTATATATAAAAATAAATTTAATAAAAATACTCCTTGACAAGAGCAAAACCCTATATATATTTCATTGCAAACCTTTCAAACTAGACTTGATCAAACATGGATCAAGCTAACTCCCCCATCAATCCAAAGAATGGTTTCAACTCCATAACCAAGACTTTCCATAGCCTTAGACCTCCGATTCATCTCCCTCCAGAGGAAACTCCCTTCTCAGCAGCTGAATATGCTCTCTCCCTCCATGCCAGCTACTCTTCTTGGCCTGATTCAGTAGCCATAATCGACTCATCCACAGGCCAAAAACTTTCCTGCTCAGACTTCAGTAAAAGAACCAAATCCTTAACCCTGTATCTCCAAAATGTCATTCAACTGTCCAAAAATGACACTGCCTTTGTCCTCTGTCCGAACTACATTAAAGTTCCCATTCTTTACTTCTCTCTTCTCTCACTTGGTGTAGTAATCTCTCCTGCGAACCCCATGAGCACTGAATCAGAGCTTTCACACCAAATCAATCTCTCTAACCCAGTAATCGCCTTTGCCACATCAGAAACATGTCACAAGCTCCCGAAGTTGAAACACAGAACCATTCACCTTGACTCACCTGAGTTTGACTCGATAATCACCATGTTTCCCGCAGCAGCATCTCATCAAGAACTCGGAAAGGTTAAAGTGAATCAATCGGATTTGGCAGCGATCATGTACTCATCAGGCACCGCAGGGAAAGTCAAAGGAGTGATGCTGACTCACAGAAACCTCATGGCTGTCATTGCAGGATACTATCCATTTAAACAAGAGAGGAAATCCCCTACTGTGATGCTCTACACGGTGCCTTATTTTTCACGTGTTTGGCTTCTTCTACAGTTTCAAATCACTGGCATTAAGTGAAATAGCGGTGGTGATGGAGAGGTTTGATATGAAGAAGATGCTGAGAGCTGTAGAGGAGTTTGGGGTGACTGAGCTGGCAGTGGCACCACCGGTGGTTGTAGCAATGGCAAGGAGTGCTTTGACAGACGGTTATGATTTGAGGTCGCTGGAGACGGTGGCGCTCCGCTTGGTAAGGATGTTATGAAGGCTTTTACAGACAAGTTTCCTACCGTGGACCTGTGGCAGGTTGGTGGCTTGGAAAAACATTTCATTAAAGTAAAAATTAGTTCTGTGTGAATAGTTTCGGTAGTTTTGAACCAAATTCTCGATAAAACAAACGATAGATCGAAAATTTAAGAATAAAATTAACTTAATTAAAAATATATAAAAAAAACTAAAAAACTATATCATTATATAAAATAAATTTAGCTATTAATCTTTTATATTGTGAACGGAAAATTCCAGTAATATGATGGAATTGAAAGAGCGACTATAGGGTAGGACAAAAAAAGCATTTGGTACTTTATGAAAAAGCTATAGTTAGAAATAATTAAAGTGAAGGTCTTCAATGGCGTCATGTGAGTCGTCCCTTTTGGAAGGTAATAAAATATGAAAATATTTTGATGTTTAACCATATATCGTGGGAACAAGAGACTTTGATATGGCGTGGTACGATGAGGTGGATCGAAGACAACGTATGATGTCAGCCACCAAATTCATGGGTCAATTCTCAGATGGGAAATACCAAGTAACTCTATTCGCATATTAATATTGTATTTTTTTTGTCACATGAGGATCACAGCCTTACGTTTCTTCTTTTTTTTTTCTTTTTTTTTTTTTAAATAACACAGCTGTCCGAATCAGCTTACGCGCATCTCGATTAATTTCACAAGTCCCGAAGTTAATGACCATGTAAAGCTCCAGGTGGTCACCAAGAGGAACAATCGGGACTCGAACCCGAGACCACAAGAAGAGCAAATCCCTTGATGCCAAGTTGTTGTCGTTGCGTCACTCCCTGGTGGTTTCTTACGTTTCTTTTTTTCAATGGATGGATAGCAAATTTACTTACAAAATTCACGAGCCCTAATTCTCTCTCTCTCTCTCTCTCTCTCTCTCTCTCTCTCTATATATATATATATATATATATATATATTGTGATATATTTAGAATTTTAATCTATCTTTATATGATAAGATATTTATCCAATCCTTCTTTAATTATATAGATAAATGAGTTGACTTCATTTTTAAATATATATTAAGGTTTCAATATATCATTTTTATTGCTACCGAATTATTCACCTAATTATTGTTGGAAAGATAAATTAAACCTTGGATGCATATTTAAGAATAAAATTGATTCAATATAAAGATATATTGAGCCATTAACTCAAATATTTATTATTTCCATTGCAAATTAACTTGCATTTCATTGTTGAATTTAAGGGTTATGGACTGACTGAATCAACGGGGTAACTGTCCCGATCAAATGATAGGCAAGAAAGCCGCCGCTGGGGCTCGGTAGGAAGGATTACGGCCGGTTGTGAAGCAAAAATTGTTGATCCTGATACAAGTTATGCCTTGCCTCCTGGGAAGCGAGGAGAGCTTTGGATTAGAGGATCCACAATAATGAAAGGTAAAATCTTAGCACACAAGAAACAGCCTTTGCTTGCGAATTAATCAGTACTAGTTAGGTTTCGTTAAGTATATATTTTGCTAAAATAAGGCCTGACATTAATTTGGAACTATACTGAGGTAGGTTTTGTGATCTTGCTGTGCAGGTTATGTTGGTGATCCTGGAGCAACTTCTACTACCTTGGAATCAGATGGCTGGTTGAGGACAGGTGATCTTTGTTACATTGATGAAGAGGGTTTTGTATTCGTTGTCGATAGGCTGAAGGGACTAATCAAATACAAGGGATATCAGGTAAACTAGCCTCAGTTTTTGAACCCTCCATTATATGCCACAAAGAACTGTAATATTTACTGTAAGTGTAGGTTGCTCCTGCTGAGCTAGAGCAGTTGCTCCAGTCCCACCCAGAGATAGCTGATGCTGCAGTGATACCGTAAGTTTTCTCTTCTCCGATCGAGTTTAATTATGGGATCTCTTGTCCCTTTATCATGCAGCATTGGCAGAAGAAATTAGTAAAACTCATCTGTAAAATCGGTGTCTATTTCAATTTCCATCATTAGTACTTCGTAACCGATAGGAAATTTATAGAAATTCTGATGTAAAAGAAATTGCAGATACCCTGATGAGGAAGCTGGTCAGGTGCCCATGGCTCTTGTGGTGAAACGGTCCCAGAGCAGAATCAACGAAAGAAGCGTAATAGATTTTGTTGCAAAACAGGTGCTTCTTCTCTAGTTCTTATAGTCGTTTTCCTTGAGAAAACTTGAAAAAGCTGATCATTTATGCTCTGCTTGGAAGCAGGTTGCACCATTCAAGAAAGTAAGGCGTGTAGCATTTATCAGTTCCATACCGAAGAGTGCAGCAGGAAAAATAGTGAGAAAGGAATTGAGAAAGATGGTTCAGATTCCTTTGCCTTCATCGAAAATGTAATGAATTGTTTGGAATGAAGAAGGTTATTGGATTCTTGAATCCAAATTTTAGTACCTATTATTTTCATGGTATGTGAAAAGTAATATTAGGTGACACAATCATTCGATAAGAAAAATAATTTTCTTAATGTTGAATATAAATAAAAAATAAGAAAAATTTTCTCGTGCATCTTTTGTCCCTATTTATATTATTATGATTATGTGCACTAATGTACTATATATATCTTAATTGGGTTTTTTCAGAATTAAATTCATGCTCTCTTGATCCTATTTTTATTATTATATTTACATAAGATATTGGTGAAAATGGAAAAAAATATTTTACAAATAGAGTAATAATGCATTCCTAAAAAATAAAGATATATTGATGTTTGATGCAATGTTGAGGATAGTAATTCTGATCTAACCATAAAATATGTAGAGCATGAATTTGACGCAAGAAAGAGTATTATTATACATGATGAATTTAACTTGCACAAACAATTTGATTAAAAACTTTAGAAATATTGGACTCCAATGCAATTTTCTAATTAATATTTATCGCAAATAATTTGTCAAAAAATAATATATTATTTGTAAGGAAGCAAAATTTACAACAAATCGGGAAATTTTTCATTGTAATTACGCAAATATCTTGAAGCAATAATTAATTTTTGTGAAAAATACAGTAAATTTTGAGGTTAATGTGAAATTTCTTTTGATTTCAAATTCAAATAAACATAAAAAATAATGCCAAATTCTAAAAAGAAATTTTATTTTTTATTTTTTTGCAATTAGCATCAAATGTTGCATTTTTTTGTATGTGTAAGTGTGTAACCTTTCATTCATTTTTTTTTTTTTTGTCCGTGTGTTAGACAGAAAAGGTTAATTTTATCATGCAAGTCAAAACCTAATCATCATGAATTAACAGTTGAGGTTCCAAATTCGATATCCTGACTCTTGTGGCAACTTTATGGTAGTACTTAAAAGGAGATGGGAAGCCCTTAGCTAAATTTAGATGTTCGGAATATTATTTATGTAGAAAATGTGTGAGGAAGGGATCCAGCCAGACAGCTTTGGTTTTGTGGGCAAGAAAGACCATTTCGAGCTCCTCTGTTTGTGCCCTTCAATTTCTTTTTGCTGTATTGAATGATTGTATAACCATGCAGCGTCTGGATTGGTTTATTTATGGTCTTCGGCTGGTAAATCTTTGGAATTTAATGTTTCATCTAAATCTGGTTGCATGCATAGTGGATCAAACAGTTTTTCTTTTGATTTTGGGTTGAACCGCACAGCATGATCAATGAACTGGTGCTACTTGGCAAAGATTTCTATGTAAAGAAATGACCTTCATCTTCTTGGATTACACCCTCTTCGATCTTGCAGTCAAACAATTAGTTGTGATGATTTGAAGAGGCTTGGCACCCCCGTCGCAAGTGCCATAGACATGAAAGGAAGTTCATCTGATAAAAGATGCAAGGAGGCTTAGCAGTCAGAATTGCTCTTTGATATCAGATTTTTAGCAGGTTTCCTGCTTATGTAAATTTGTTCAGGATAAGATAGAGGATCTTCTTGTTTTTGGATTTATTTTATTAAGTGTGATTTTTTATAAAGAAAAATTTCAAAACCTGACGTTGACAGATAATAGGATGGAACGATCTGGTTCTAAAACCTCTGAAGCTGCTGAACCAGGCATTTGTAGAGCATGAACAGAATCCAGCCATTGAAGTTCAGGCCTAGCTAATCCAGCAATCGCCGTGTATTTTAGGGGCATATTTGACAATTGCCGAAACAGAACGACATTAACGCCTAGCATGAGTCTTCCTTGCATTATGTAGACTAGTTTGAGCAGCTGAGATTAAAATGCATGTCCATGCTTTACAGTCTTTATCAGAGACCACGGTTTTACAATCTTACCATAAAAGATCAAGCATTCCACCCACTGGCTGACCTTAGAATGACCAATTCTGTCATACATTCTTCACCATTTAAAAAAAAGAAAAAAGAAAAAAGAAAAAAAAAAGCAGAGGCACAAGTTCATGAGCATATACAAGCAAATACAATCCCATCATTCACCCATTCAAGTGGAATGGCTATACAAGCTTTTATAATTAAAATAGAGGTTCAGGGTTATTACAATCGTATAGCATGAATAGACATTTATGTTCACCATAGTGAACACAATATCCATACAGTAAACCGTCGTAAGACTTGTACGTCAAACACCTAGTGCTGCCTCCGGAAGATAAACACGCAGAAAAAGCATATCTACAATCAACAATTAATTAAATGGTAAGTGGCACGTTTTATTCACCATCAATTCAAAAAATAAACAAAAAATAATTCTCTAAAGATATAAAAATCAAAGAAAGCACAGCAAATTGTATGCTTGACGCTTTTAGAAGACTATGATCCAAATCCAAACTATCATCACCTCTCCCTTCTCTAATCAAGAAACTCACCATGGGTTATTCCAACATTATATACTGTCACTCATGCTTTACAAGTCATCTCTGCAATGGACAAATAGGTCAGCTTGCAGTCACTTCCTTATCCATGATTTCACTCCGATCTCCCCCTTTTGCAGACTTTCTTTTGGCTTGAATTTGGCGCACATATTCTGTCACGATGACATGGAACTTAGGAGCAAGCTTACTTGACGAGGAAACATTAAGGCCTGCTTTCCTCAGAGCCTGAGTCACATGTTTCTGAGCCTTTTGGAAGTGGACAGTGCATAAAGAAGGAGCAGTTGATCTCAGTATTGGCTTTCCACAAGTTATGGGTCCAGCCTGAGCACTTGAGAACATAGCAAACCAAAGAAATCTTATGATAAGTGGAAAATCAACAGATTCATAGAATCAATCATAGTGCACTATTTTAGCATTCATCATATGATAACAAAAAAATAAAAAATAAAAATAAAAATGCACGAATAAATAAAATATCGCTCACATTTGACAACCAAATCCAACACACTGCCTCTCAAAAATAGTTTTGATTTGGTATAATGGGAAGCAAACTGGCAGCAGAAATGCTAGCTATCTTAGTTGTAAGACAGGACAAAAGATCAAAAGCTAGCTAGAGCTTGGATATAAAGTTTGGTTTTAAAATTACAGTCTTTCCGTACTTTAGGAAGAACTTAAAGTTGTTTGGGGGCTAAAACATATATCCATCAACGCACATTTGTTTGTATTTTCATTTTAGATGTCAACTAATTCCATCGATCTATCACAAGCTGTAGCTATAATGTCAATGCCCAATGTACCTTATGGCGTGGTACTTTGGATTGATAGACATCATGCAAAACAGTAATCACAAAAAAAACAAGGAAATAGACTTCAAATAAAGATGGGCAAAATTTTCAACTTTACCTAAGACACATTGCACGCTAACATATCAGTCATACCATTTGGTATAATATCCAACCAAGTAAAGACATGATTTCTTAGTGAGAGCATAAACATGGTTAGTCATGCAACGATACAAATTACTCTTATGGCACCATTAGAGTTCTTTGTAACCATGACTATCAAATCAAATTTAGCCACTAGTTGGACCATATAATGTTGTCTCACAATTTGTTCAAGAATAATGATAATTCTCTCAAAAGTTTATCTACTCATTTTTTTTCTTTTGTTTAGCTTATTGCCTAAGTTGTTCCCGTGTATTGTTTATATACCATGATATGCATCTTAAGGCTATTTTCAACTTGTAAGATGTTGCATAATGGATACATGAAACGAAGTTTTATACTTTTAAATTTGATCTCATTAAATAGCACACAAAAGCAGACACAAATCTAGCATGAAAGTAACATCTTTCTATAATTTCAAATAGTTCCACAATCATTGCTAGATGCTAGAAGGCAAACAAATACTTCATATCATTTTTGCATACATCAACATTCCCTGGTTTGATTCATAAAATTTGTACATAGTCAAGGATCGTAAGCCCAGCTTAAAATCAAACAGCATTATGCTAAATTCACTTCATCATTGAAGCCATTTTGAACCCCAATTATCGTGGTCATAATCAAATCTCAGGTACTTAAATGTTGTTTACCTTATGAATCCTTCATGATTCATTACCCTTACTTCCAAATCCCTAACACTGAAACGATTCCTAAATAATCTTAATCAAGCTGATTCAATTTACCTATTCCAAACTTCCTCAATGGGTTCATGGCAAACTAATCTTGCGCAAACATGCAACAATTATAAAAATTGGCAATGCCAACTATCCAAGCACCAACAAAACATACCAAAATCTAGCTAAAATAGAAACTTTAACACCACCAACACAATCTTACAGCAACCAAACAATCAAAACCCCAGAAAAACAAATACCCATAAAAGAAATAAGTTTTATAAACCAAAAATCAAAGAAAAAAGTAAAGCAAGATCAAACCTTTTGATGACATAATTGCAAGGCTTGTAAAGCTTCTGCTTTGCATCAGAAAGTATATGCAGATGACAAAAACTTGTCAAAGCCATGGCCTTTAACTTACAACCAACAAACAAACACCTACGATTAATCTTCAAATCAGTAGCATTATTGTTATCTTCACCAATAACTTCAACATTAGCCTCCCTCTCTCCATTCTCCCTCTCCAAAACACCAACCACACCATCTTGTTTCTGTTGTTCTTGTTTTTGAAGGCTGCTTGGGTGGTCTTCTTTAAATGGGCTCACACCATACTTCCAATAGTACTCTCTGTACTGAACCTTGAGGTCTTCCATTAATGCCCAGTAATGATCTTTGAAGCAACTTGATAGTTGTTTTAGCTTGTGGGACCTTCTTTTGAGGAGTTCTTGGCGCGTTATGTGGGTGGCGCGGGACAAAACCTGGTCTTTGAGGGAGGGAGATAGTGGGGATGGCTTAGGGGTTGTGGTGTTGGTGGTGCTGGGGTTAGGGTTTTGAGTGGTGTTAGTTTGTGGGGTCGTTGAGGTGGCGGTATTGGGAGTGGAGTGCAGGTTCTTGGGTGGTTTAGAGGAGGAGGCATGGTGGTTCTTGGTGGCTGCAGTCATGGCTGCTAGAGAGAATGTTGAGAGAGAGGGATTTGTTTTGTTCTTCACTTCCACAAATTGTTCACAGAACGTCTCAATAGAGAATGGACAATCACAGACGACAGGTAGTTTGCACTTTACAGCGTGGATGACGGTTTCATTGAAGAAGACAAGATATTCAAGTTTCCTGAACAGGGAGCGGTTGTTGATTAATTCAGATAAATCTCAAATTAACCCCTAAAGTATTACTGAATTCTTAATTTGCAGCAAAAATATAAATGTTTATCAATTGAGTTCCTAATATATTTGCTAAAGTAGTATTTAATTCTTACTTTATCGCAAAAATATAAATATTTATCAATCGAGTACCTAATGTTTTAAATATATCTCGATTCTATCCTTTTTGTCTAGTTTCATGAGCACGTGCCATCAATTTTTCTAAGCTTTAATGGTTGCGGGATTTCTCTATTTTAAATTTCATTTTTATAGTCTGTTCTTTTTTGTCTTAATTTGTTTTTTTTTATTTTTAGTTTATGTCTTAATTATTTTATTCCTCGTTAATATTTCTGATTAATAGTAATAAATTTTATTATTAGCATTATATGATTGTGACATCGATATGTGATAATTTATTTTTTTGATCAATAATACTTTTATACATCTCGAGATTAATTCTAAACGTAAATAATGAACACTCTTCAATATATGGTTTTGGATATTTTAAGAATAAATCTTCAAGATCATCGATTACAAAGATCAAATTTCAACCTTAATCTCCAAGTTGATGCTTACTTATCAGTTGATGATTATTTTATGATAAATATACAGGACAACTTAATTTTATATCCAAATTTTAAAATAAATTATGAAAAAAAAGGCTATATAAATGCCTCTTTATGATAAAAAAAACTCTCTTCATTTCTTGTTTTCCTCAATCATTTTTAGCATCGATCCATTTTTTCTTAGGAAAGGTACATGAAAATATGCACATCGGACGGAAAATTAATAATGTACATGAAAAGAAGAAGCAGATTCAGCAATAACAGAAATATTAAGTACCTAATTAATAACTTAAACTGTTCAGTAAGCCACGAATTACACAGAATCCACTGCAAGCAGCTCACAGATCACAGCCTTGATTGCGACGATGACCTCAAAATATGATTACTCTGTTTCTGAGATGGCTGACAACTCTTGATGAAGATGTCTCCTCAGCATGGTTGCTTTCATTCTTGAAGGAACTGTGGAGCTAAAAGGATTAGGAGGTTTCCTCAAGCTGTCTCCTCCTTCCCCTTCCAGCATTTGGACAACAATTTTCATGGAAGGACGGTCCATTGGGTTCCACTGAATGCACCACAGTCCCACAATTGCTAGCTTTTCTGCAATTTTAGCATCTTCTTCTTCCTCAATGTGGAATCGCAGGTCTTCTCCTCCTTCTAAAAGATTATAAATCCATTCTGGGAAGTATACTTGATTTCCATTTTCCGCTGTATCATCAACAGTTTTCCTTCCTCCAACCATTTCTAACACTAACATTCCAAAACTATACACGTCTGATTTATAGGAGACATTCCCAAAGTTTCTTGAGAACACTTCAGGTGCTATGTAGCCAGCAGTACCCCTAGCTGTTGTCATGGAAATAGCACTTTTATCCTTGGAACACAATTTAGCCAGGCCGAAATCTGCAATTTTGGGATTGAAGTCATTGTCCAGCAGGATATTATGTGGCTTGATGTCGAAGTGGAGGATTCTCTGGTCACACCCTTGGTGAAGATATTCAATCCCTTTCGCAATTCCAAGAGCAATATGATGCAGTCTTTCCCAGCCGAGGAAACGATTCTTTGCGTCTGCTGAAGATATGAACTTCTGCAACGAATCGTTTGGCAAGTACTCGTAAACTAGTGCTCGTCTGAATCCATCAGCACAGAAGCCAATCAAGCGAACGACATTGACATGGTGAATCCTAGCCATCATTCCCATTTCGTTGACAAACTCCTCTCCTTTTCCTGTGGAACTGTTGAGAACCTTAACAGCTACCGGAATTTCACTGGTTAGCTTTCCTTTGAATACAGTTCCATATGCTCCTTGTCCCAATTCCTCCCTGAATTGATTTGTGATCTTCTTGAGATCAGCATAGGAGTATCTTGTGGGGTTCATAGCTCTGTAATCATCCAAAAACCTTTCAACCTTGGCTTCATATTCTTTTTCTGCTTTGTTGAAGCTATAGATTTGGTAGACTGCAATGACCAGAATGCCGAAAAGGAAAAATCCAGTGATTACACCTGCATTTAAGCATTTTGAGTCAAGAAACTATCTTCTTTTCTGGAGAGTAAATTTCAGGTTTAGCGAACAACTAACCTATCGTCAGTCGCTTTTTCCACGCATCTGTAGAAGGGGAAAAAAATGCTGATCAGTTTCTCATTTTCAGGAAGTTTTCTGAATTCATGATAACATCCTGAGTTTTTAGGAACAAGAACAAGCCAAAATGCGCAGGTAACCCACCTGCCATTCGACCTCACAAGGAGATTGGACATTGAATTGAGACAAGTCTTATCTGTTCAATGCTACTTGTAATAAATAATTCAAAACCAAGGTGCCATGATCACAGACCAGTGAAAAATGGACATAATGCTAAAGATACCTTTGTTTGGTTTGTCCATGCCATAACATTCAGTTTCAAGCTCAGTGCTGCTGTTTTTCCTCAATCTACATAGTTTTCGCTTTGCTTCACAAGATCCACATTTGGGATTGGACCACGACAGACGAATATCATGCGGAAAAGGCAGGTCGTACATCTTGGTACAAGATAACAGCTCATCGTCAATACCAATAAGTCGTTCTGAATTAATGGCAGGAATGTTATACTGGAGAGTACTTAGACAAGGGATGATCCTGTTCTGAGATCTTGCCTTATTTGAAGCACAATTGAAGAAGCTAAAATTGCCCTTGGACTTCTTAAACTGCAAGTGAAACACAGATATATTGAAGTTTGAGTTTCGCGTTAGAAGGCAATCTTGGGGATCACTTGCATAAATAACTTGATTTTTGTAGTCAATCTTTTCTATGTAGAGTTTCACTGCAGTTGGCAGCTCGAGCACTATCTCGTCCCTCTCGTTGCAAGATAGACCAAACCCAGGATAGCCACACTGGTCTGGCTGCCTATCCTTGATCCAGAATGGAAATCGGATGTCGAGGCCACGGTTCCCACAAGATCCTGTGCAATTTGGGCTGACTCCAGGTTCTGCAAATTCTACAATGAACATGAAATAGAACATGCATATAACCATTTCTGATGAACATTTCATCATTGCCTCCTATATATGGTGACACTGGTTTGGCCTAATAGTATTTAGTTGTGTTGCTGAAACTATAGTAAACTCAAATCGGAGCAGAAAGGGTAACCTTGATACCTTTGTTTTATGACTGCCTGATCTACCGAAAGTGCTGAATTGGAGTTACTTTTAGCATCATCTTTGCCTAAATTATGTACTCAAAACTTCTCCCTCTTGCATTGACAAAAAATATTATTGCTCCCTCACTTTCTTTGCTCCATAAAGAAGATGTGGAAATTGGGTGCATATAGTTGGCCACATTTAATACTGTAGAATTTTTCCATCCATAAAGTAGATGTGGAAATTCGGTGCATATATATAGTTGGACTACATTTAATACTGTAGAATTTTTATATCTCCAATTATTATAAACATGGATGTCTTCCTCTCATTTTAGTAAGTCACCACAAGTGAAAGCGTGCATGTTAGGGAGGATTATATATAGAGAGCTCAAGTAGGGAGTGGTGTGAGACTAATATTTGACTGCTTGTGTTTTGTTAATGTGAGTGTTATGAGAGGTATTGTAATTGTACTAGTAATTTGTTATCACTAATGTTATAATAAAATTGTGTTTCTAATTAATCCTATCAAATTGTGCTATTCTAAATTCAACAAGTGGTATTATAGTTGTGCCGAATTCATCAAGATTTTTTATTGTTATCATGGACATCTCAAGGGATGAATTGGTAGTAATTATGATATTCACTATTGATAGTTTTGAGTTTTACATGATAATATATCCATTAAAAATAAAAATTCTGAAATAAGATAGATCGATGATGAACTGATCAATGAAAATAAAAATAAAAATAAAAAAATAGAAAAGATAAAAAAAATATAATGAAATGATTGATGGAAAACAAGATATATTTTAGAATAAATTTATATTAAATTAAATATGATTAAAACTAATAAATTTTTTTAAAAAAAACTACAAAAAAATATTTAATTCATCTTGTAAAACTGGAGACTAATTTAGAACTTACTCTTTGAAAGTGTTTTTTAAATCTTTTAGTACAAAAAACATTTTGATGACTTTTCCCTTCAAATACAATTTATGAAAATACACGTCCTATACTATCAAACATTTATTAAGCTAATTTTTGTTTTTTTAAATAAAAATGCAATGTACAACTTTATTATTTTAATTTTATTGTAGCTTTGTCTTCTTTTTTTATTATTATTTTTTAATGTATGATGCTTTTAATATGCTAATAATATTATTTTAGAGAGATGTATTCATTATTCCATGATGCATGTTAATTACCATTAAATTTTAGAAGCAGCTGTGAGAAAATAATATTGTGAAAACAATAGTATAGGTAACGTTGCTAGTACTCCTCCTCCTTGCCTAAAATTATGCACTCAAAATTTCCGTCTCTTGCATCCAATAATAATTATTGCATCCTGAATTTCTTTGCTCTTTCCAAGGAGTCAGGAGGAAGAAGAAATTGGCGGAATAATTATATTTAAGTAGACTAGGGTTAGTCTTTGTTTTTTTTTTTCACAAATGATATATATAATACAAGAAGATGATCGTGTTCTCTTGATGCAGACGCTTGCAGTCCTTTCCGTGCACAAGAAATTGGAATAACTTTTGTTTTATTGTTGGGACTTCGTCATTTCAAAGCATTAGTTAGGACTTCAGATCTTTGATGCTGATGGCACTCTCACACTGCAAAACTTGCTTTTAGGTTTTAACTTCTTCTATGTTTCACTTCCTTTAACTGTTGTCTTCTCAAGACTAAAGAAATTGTTTATGGACTGTATACATTCTTTCTCCATCCATGTCGAGGCTCCTCTTTGCTTGCTCCATAGCCTTACTTCTGCTGCCTCTAGTCTTCCAAACCAGCAACTGCAACGATGCCAATCTCTCTGCCCCTTCACGTGGCAATCATAATATTAGCTATCCTTTTAGACTAGACAGTGATCCGTTAAACTGTGGGAACCTTTCCTATACCCTCCACTGCGAGAAAAATACCTCCACAGTATTGTATTTGGAGTCACGAAAATACTACGTGCAGGCAATCAACTACAACAACTTGACAGTTCGAGTGGTTGATGCAGGGTTTAAAGAAAATGATTGCTCTTCTCTTCCTAAGCTTTCTTTAACATATGCTACCTTCCGTTAAGAAAATCCATATACATGGTTTCAACGAAAAGCAACAGGGCCGAAATGGTTTCCCAAAATCCATATTCGAGTGGTGGATCTCCCTTTATCGCAGATGATGCATTCATATGTGAATGTTGGTGGCATGGAGGCCTCGGATTTGGTGGCACTGTGCAGCTTAGAGATGATAACGTTGTTGGCAGCCAAGGATTACAAGAATATGCCCTTCGAAGAAATTCACAGTCAGCTGGCATATGGGTTTGAGCTTTCATGGCACAATAGTAGTTGTGGAAGTTGTGTGTATAGCTGTTACGTCGATGATTCGTATCATGGACACTGCACAGGTGGGCAATATTCAGAAACTAACACTTCATTTTTCTATTGTCAACTTCTCTTCCCAATATCTGGCAACTGTAATTTCCCATATCACAGGTTGCAGTTGGTCATATCATATAGATAATAGATGATTGTTTCCAATATAATTTTTCTATGTCATTAATCTGTTTCTTCTCAATTCTTTTCATCTTGTAATAACCTCAGTTAAATATTACCTCAAATCACAAATCTAATCTTTGTAACTGATCTCTTGGTCCAACAGAATTTTCTTGGCTCCAAATAACCAGAGGTGAGGATTCTATTTCCACATGTTTTCATCCTTGATTCCAGAATTCCAAATAATTCTTTCTTGAATACCTCTAAGTTTCTTTATCTTCTCTGCAGAAGTGCTGGGGCTTGTATCCTATTCCATTGGTAAGAACTCCCCTTTATTGATATATATATATATTTTAGTCTATGATTTTGGAGCATAGTTTATTAGCAGGTACAGAATGATAATCTGTAAATGTCATCTTATGCCAATTTCTTCCAGAAGCAGAACTCGTGTGTGTGAGTGTGTTGGGGGGGGGGGGGGGGAGGTTGTGCTGGTTGGGGGTGAGGACTTTAATCTGAATCCTCTTATTTTAAGAAAATGTACTCCTACGCTACAGATCATGATGGTCTAGACTATTGATGATTTTTTCAACTCGGCAAAAAATGCTAACAACTAGAGCTAGCCTAACCCATGTTGAGTTTTTGTCTATCTCTTGTGAAAAGAAAGAATAATGATTTGATTATGATCTGCACTCGTCTAGACATTGTCTTAGTTGTCACCGTTGTGAGCGGATATATGGTTCACCCAAGAAAGGTACATTGACAAACAATGAAGTGGATTCTCAAGTATCTCAAATGTATCATAGACTTGGGTTTAGTCTTTGAAAGGAGAAGTGTTTCTAAAACTTTTATTGTAGGCTTTGTGGATTTTGACTATGCAAGTGATTTCGATAAAAAAAGATATATGATAGGGTATATCTTTATACTTTTGAGTTTTGCTATAAGTTGGAGATCAATAATGTAGTCGATAGTTGCTTTGTGACTACCGAAGCGAGTATATATGGCCACAATTGAGGTTGTGAAGGCGGCTATTTGGGTACGAAGTCTTATGGAGGAACTTAGTCTTCAACAAGAAGAAAATTCTATTGAGTTTTATGACAACCGAGTACTATACATTTAACCAAAAATCAAGCACATCATGAGAAAACCATGCATATTGATATCGTGTATCATTTCATCCGTGAAGTAATTTCTAATAAAAAGATTATAGCGAAGAAAGTTCACACTAAAGATAATCCAGCTAATGAGTTAACTAAACTTATTACAACAAACAAGTTCACCCATTGTTTAGACCTAAGTGGTGTTAAGAAAATCAAAATGTGCTATTGAAAAGAGAGGCACGTTCAAGTGAGTTTTCTTTTCTCTCCCATGCTCACATAAGCTTAAAGTTGTGTATTGAGGAATTATTTGACATTCTTGAAGGTTTATAGAATTCAAGCTAAGGTGGAGATTTGTTGTATATGACATGAATTTATGAGCCAATTATATATTTAGCCCATTAGGTTTTTTCTTTTATAAATATGAGGTATTTAAATCTCATATGTCTTGTTTAGGAAATAAAATGAAAGATAAAGACTTTGTATTAAGCTTCTAAGGTTCTTGCATTCTTTTGCTATTAAGCTAATAAAACTTCTCTCTCGTCCGTGAAGTAGGCACTTTGCCAAATTACATAAATTTTGTGTGTTATAATTTACATAGTTTTATTTTTTGATTATTGTTTGTTATTATTTGTCTTATTTTGACTATTTATTATATTATATTTGCAAAAAGATGATCATGTTTGTCGCTATCCGACGTCCGATGGGACTCCTAAAAAATATCTAACTTTATAAATTTTCAAAGAGTCACATCTCTTTTGTGAGGTTATTCTAGGGATATGAGTTTTTATTGTGTTTGGAGTCACCACATAGTATTAAAGAACTAGGAACCTAAAAATAGCACTGCCGTAGATATTCTCAAGTAAGGAGTTGGTTACGCTTTGAGAAAATGTCAATTACCCAAAGACGTTCATTTCTAGGAAAAGTAACATGTCTAGTTTAGTTCTAAATTCATCTCCAAAAATATTTTATTTATTCTATATTATTTTTTGATTTTAAACTCTAATTTTTAAAGTCAAATTAAGCTTTTTAGTTTTGGGCGTGGCATTGTATTGAAACGATCATCCGTCTCCTTCGTCGAGCGACACGTTAGTTCAAACATCGGATCCCCTTTAAGCTTCGACACAAGCTGGTGTGTCGGAGAACATCTTGATTATTAAATGATGATTTTTTGTAATAACGAGTCCCTATCAAATAAGAGATGTAGTCAAGATTTTTTTTTTTTTTATGCCCAAACAATAGTCCTTATTAGCTAGGAGACTTCGTTGAGAATTTTTAATATATATATTTTTTCAAATGATAGTCTGCGAGAATTTTTTATTATTTTTTGTCAAACAACATTCATTATCGGATAGGAGACTTCCTTGAGAGTTTTTATTATTTTTTTGTTAAATGACAGTACCTATCAAATAGAAGACTTCGTTTAAAATTTTTATTATTTTTTGTTGATAGAAAATCGTCATTAGTCCTTGAAAATTAGGACTCGGCGATTCACTTATTTTTTAATTATCTAAACTAATTACAAAATTAAAATCCTAAAATAAAAAAAATTACTTAAGATTTACTAAAATAAATTCAATGCCAACTAGAATATTAAGTACAGAAAATAAACATGCATAAATAAATTCAAAATAAATTGAGCTTAAAATTAAATAATAAAAAAAACTTGAAATTAAACATTGGATCATTTCTTTGAATTGATCATATTGGGCCAAGAGTGGGCTAAACCAAAGCCCATTATATATATATATATTTGAGGGGGCTTGGATCCAACCCCTTTTTTTTTATTTTTATTTTTATTTTTTATTTTTTGAGGGCTGGACATTTCAGCCTCTGCTGGATAGACAGTTCAGCTAAGGTGTTAAATAAAATCGAGATATATATATATACCAGTTAATTTATTTTCTTCATACATGGATTGCAGTCCTTTTGCTCTGTCAAGGTGAGAATTCAAACTAAATTAATGAAGGGATAGAGTCTAGCTTTATTGTCTTTCTGCAGAAGACAGATCATGAGATAGCAACATGCCTGATCGCAAATGTAATTGAACTTGAACCATACACCAAAACTACGTAATAAATAATACTCCGGAAATAGACATGTTACATTATATCACAACCATACAACATGCATAAATGCTCTGTAATATTATTGGTCAGGGAAAGGTTTCAGTTATCCAAGTTTGAAATTTGGAAAACCGAGATGTGAATCGGCATAGGAGGAAGGTTGATGTTATAAGCTTTTTTCACGAATTATGTGTTATAAAGAAGATAATCATGTTCTCTTGATGTATACGCTTGGGGTCCTTTCCATGCACAAGAACTTGGAATAATTCTTTTGCTGTATCGTTGCGACTTTGACATTTCAAAGCTGAGTTGGTAACCTCACATTAATGCAAAACTTGCTTTTAGGTTTTAACGTCTTCTATGTTTCACTGACTCAAGACTTTTTATGGAAAGTTCACACTCTTTCTCCACCCATGTCTAGGCTCCTCTTTGCTTGCTCCATAGCCTTACTTCTGCTGCTTCTAGTCTTCCAAACCAGCAACTGCAAGGGTAACAACCTCTGTGCCTCTTCATGTGGCAATCATAATATTAGCTACCCTTTTAGACTAGACAGTGATTCATTAAACTGTGGGAAACTTTCCTATACCCTCCACTGCGAGAAAAATACCTCCACGGTATTGTATTTGGAGTCACGAAAATACTACGTGCAGGCAATCAACTACAACAACTTGACAATTCGAGTTGTGGATGCTGGTGTTAAAGAAAATGATTGCTCTTCTCTTCCTAATTTTTCTTTAACATATGCTAGCTTAGATTTCAGAAATCCATATACATGGTTTCTATACAAGAAGAAAGGGCCGAAATGGCTTCCCACGATCAAGGAACTGATCCCTTTATCGCTGACGATGATCTTCATGAACTGTGAAAATGCAGTGAATTCGCCTCTTTATGTTGACACTGGTACTTGCCTTAATGGAGCAAAATCTTCCAATGTTTCACTCTTGAAACATTCTTATGTGAATGTTGGTGGCATGAAGGCCTCGGATTTGGTGGCACTGTGCAGCTTAGAGAGGATAACGTTGTTGGCAGTCAAGGATTACAAGAATATGCCCTTCCAAGAAATTCACAGTCAGCTGGCATATGGGTTTGAGCTTTCATGGCACAATAGCAGGTGTCGAAGTTGTATGGGTAGATGCTACGTCGATGATTCGTACCATGGACACTGCAGAGGTGGGCAATATTCAGTAACTAACACTTCATTTTTCTATTTCCAACTTCTTTTAGCATGATTTCCCAATTTCTGGCAAATGTAGTACTGAGGGTCTCACAGTCAATTCAATCAGTTGATCATATCATATAGATAATAGATGATTGTTTTGCAATCTAATTTTGCTATGCCATTCATCTGTTTCTTCTCAATTCGTTTCATCTTGTATTAACCCCCGTTAATTATTTTCTCAAATGACAAATCTAATCTTTCTAATTGATCTCTTGGTCCAACAGAAGATTTTTGGGACGTGACCGCCGTAGGTGAGGATTCTATTTCCACATGTTTTCATCCTTGATTCCATGCATAATTCTAAATAATTTATCTAGAATAACATCTCTTCTTTTCTTTGCCTTTTCTGCAGGGTTGTTGCTATCCATTGACATTGGTAAGAACTCCCCTTACCAATTATTTATTTATTTATTGGAGCATAATAGTTTATGGGTAAATAATTCAATATATCCTTAAATAATTGTCGGAATCTTCCATCTATCTCTCAACTTTTAATTTTATATATTATACTCTTAAATAATATTTGAATCTCTAATCTGTCTTTTTGATCAATTTTTTTGACCATAAACAATTTTTTTTTAATCGAAATACCCATGACTCAAATATAAAAAAATAAAAATAAAATAAATCTAAAAACTTTAAAAAAAAAAAAAAAGAGACATACTGGTTATGTGATGTTTAGTGGCTTTTTTGTTTTTGTTTTTACTTTAATATTTCAATCTAAAGTTTTTCGATCAAATTCATTTTTTTTTTTTTTATGGTCAGAAAAATTGATTGAAAATATATTTTGAAGACTTAAACATTATTTTAGCGACTTAATAAATACAATTAAAACATAGGAATAGATTGAAGATTTAAATTATTATACAAGTACAGATTAAACTATTTACTACAATTTATTAGCCGGTACAAAATGATAATCCCTATAAATTTCATCTTATACCAAGTCCTTCCAGAAGCAGAACGCTGGGGTTTGAACTTTAAATATATTGGTGACAATGGGCCTAATGCCTGAGAGGCTGAGACAGAACTTCTGGTTAATGAGTATGTTTTTATGCAAACTTGCATCTGAGGCCTCTCATTTTAAGAAAATGTACTCCTTCGCTACAAACCATGATGGTCTAGACTCTAGATGACTTTTCAACTCGGCAAAAAATGCTAACAGCTAGCCTAACCCATGTTGAGTATTTATCTATCATTGTTGATAAGAAAGAATAATGATTTGCCTCATATTTTTCCTTAAATTTCTCACACAGGAGCACTTCAAGGAGCAAAATTTGTCTGTGGGAGTCCATTTGTGATTGCATTTTTGCTCTATAAATGGCGACGAAGACATCTATCAGCATATGACACAGTTGAGGAATTCTTACAGAATCATAACAATCTTATGCCAGTGAGGTATTCTTATTCGGAGATTAAGAAGATGACCGCTGGTTTCAAGGAAAGACTAGGTGAAGGAGGTTTTGGTTGCGTGTATAAAGGAAAACTTCGCAGCGGGTGTTTTGCAGCGATAAAAATGTTAGGCAAATCTAAGGCTAATGGACAAGATTTCATCAATGAAGTTGCTACCATTGGAAGGATTCGCCACACTAATGTAGTGCAACTAATTGGTTTTTGTGCTGAGGGATCAAAGCGCGCTCTGGTATATGATTTCATGTCTAATGGATCTCTCAATAATTTCATTTTTTCACAAGAAAGATCTGTCTCTTTAAGCTGGGAAAAATTGCATGAGATTTCTCTTGGAGTGGCTCATGGCATTGAATATCTCCATCGAGGTTGTGACATGCAAATCCTTCATTTTGATATAAAACCACACAACATTCTCCTGGACGAAAATTTTGTTCCAAAAGTTTCTGACTTTGGGCTTGCTAGGTTCTGTCCAACAAATGAAAGCATCGCATCTCTTACCGCAGCAAGGGGAACAATAGGTTACATGGCACCAGAACTGTTTTATAGGAACATCGGACACATCTCATACAAAGCTGATGTTTATAGCTTTGGAAAGTTGCTATTGGAAATGGCTGGCAGAAGAAAGAATCTGAATCCGTTGGCTGAAAATTCCAGCCAAATTTACTGGCCATATTGGGCTCATGACCAAATTTCTAATGATAAGGCTATTGAAATTGGAAATGGTTGCACAGAGGAGCAAAGTAAGATAATTAAGAAGATGATTATAGTAGGGTTGTGGTGTATACAGATGAACCCTACGGATCGCCCTGCAATGAACAAAGTTGTGGAGATGCTTGAAGGAGATACGGAAAGCCTGCAATTGCCTCCAAAACCTGTTTTAAATTTAGATCAGCAGCCAATAAACACAGGTGGAGAGTCATCTTCCATGTCTGATGATTCTACAGAATCAATCAGCTTGGTTGAAAATGCGTAGAATTAAGTGATCTGCTATGAAATACTCTGTTCATGAGCAGGGGAAGTCATGCTCCATAACTGATAGAAGAAGAGTGATATCTATAGTATTGTAATATTTATTCAGCTTATTTCCTGGTTGTGTAACTAAGAGAGTTCTAGTTGGCTTGTTTGGTCTGAACTGATCCCTGTTCTCGTCAGATGAAACTTTCAGATGATACAACTCTGCGTCTGATTCTAGAGATGTTTTTGAAATTAACTTGATAGTCTTTACTTGTTTTATCTAATTATAGATGCATTGTTCATTAAACCTGGCTAGTAATTAATGTTAAAGGTCTACTGTTCTGCCCCACGAACATTGATTCAGCAGCAGAATTTGCATGGTGTCATATCCTGCATAAGTGACAAGAGAAAATCATTTATTGTGAAGACATTAAATCACTGCAAAACTGGATTAAATACCAGAATGGAATGAATATTGAAATAGATGATTAAGTTAGATGCAGATATCTTATGTCTCTCAGAAAAACTTCAAAAAATTATGCATTTCTTCTACAGCTCTACAGACATATATAACATATGAAATGCAACAACATGTATGTTCTCCAGCGAAAAAAAATGGTAAGAACAAAAATAATAGTAAGAATCATAAATCCTAAGTTTAATTACCTGGCATGTTGCAGCAATATGTTTGTCCTCCAATGAATAGAGTAATTAGTGCGTTAGAGAGAGGAATAGAGCTTCTGCTTTTCTTTGTGGTTGTGGAGAAGGAAAGGTTGATACAGAAAAGCAGATCTGCAGATGCCGGGTCAACAACGTTGTTTAGAAGACTTCAAACAGAATGGGAGGATCCATGGCCACGTTGCTTGTAGAACGACTTGTGTTACCGCCAAGGAACGTGGTTTAGCGAGATTGCTTTGGTTTGGCTAATTAAGATTGAAATTCAATTTCATTATCCATAGATAACTGATCTTAATTATCCATTAATGGCACTAGGTTTGGACTGGTTTGGTCTAAGAGAGAGCTAGTAGATGTGTTCTGGCGTTGGTTTAATCCGAGAAGTAATGAACTTAGGCTCGTTAATGCAAAGGATATCCTCAAGATACATCCATATATATATATATATATGTAGCACAACTTGTCCTTCAAAAGCCACGTATATTAGAAAGCCCAACCGTTGGTAACCGCCATAAACCGCTCTCCTATGCTCATCACATTTTACACATTCCTTTTGAAAGCACGGAAAAAAATTTCCAAACTTTGAGTTTCTCTTGGAATGATGGTACTCAAAATGCACATAATTTCACTATTTTCTCTCATTTTCGTTGCATCATTGGCTTTTACACCTGCGAATTCAGGTACCATTAAAGAAAATCATTCTCTAACATCATTATTTTGTGCAAAAAACAAAAAAGTCAGTGACAGTTTATATATAACTTGACAGTTCTTGCAGACCAAACACAAGGACCCTACTTTGCATTCAGTTGGTTAAACGACAACAACACATTCCAAGCAGGAGATGTTGCAACTATAAAGATTAAAGTACTAGGAGAATTCCACAGGACTAAAGCAAATGCTTTTAGTCCTAACATAACAGTGAATGGCAAGATGGGGAATTCTGGTTTTGTTTCTGGGGTTTTACTTGATGTTGCAGGAGAAGATACAAATAGTTGGAGAATTCTTTTTACTCCAATAAGGGTTGGAGTTTTTAATGTTTTTATTGAAGATGGCCCTTTTCATGTCTTTGATTCTTCTCTCCATTTTGAAGTTAAACCAGGTTCTTTTTTTTTTTTTTTTTTTCACTTCTTGATGCATTATTAATTCAAGTTATGGTTCCTTTTTGTGTTCATTGATGTTCTAGTTGTAAATTGTTTTGATAATTTGTTTCTTCTACCTTTTGATATGGGTTCTAGTTGCTGTTCTTGATTAGGGCAAATGCTCAATTTGTTGAAGTTAAAAGGATGGCTCTTTTGGAACTATTGTTCAACTAATTGCTTGTTTGATTCATCAATAAAAGTGAGCAACAACTTTCAAAATGTAGGCTAAATTGCTAAACATAGTCGGTATTGTTTGGTTGAAGGGAAAATATATGCATCTGTCTGCATTCCATCATGGAGGGATCTCGTAAACGAGTTTGAAGCTGGGGCTAAAGCTACAGTTTTGATTGTTCCTAGAGATGCATTTGGGAATAATGTTTCTTCAACTGGAGAAGAACTAAGTCCTTCTAATTTTACAGTGTCCGAACTTTACGGGAACGGTACCATTGCTAATTTGCCAAACATCACTCATATAGGTTGGAATGAATTCGGTCACATCATCCTTGAGTTTATTGCTACAAAAGCTGGAAACTTGTTGTTGCATGTGGAAGGTGGAAATCAGACCTTGAATGGCTGTCCGCTTCCATATAAGGTGAATCCAGGTGATGTTCTGTAGCATTTATCATCAGCTCATAACATGTTTTTAAAGGCAGTACTCAATTGTTTACTCTGCTTTAAATTCACTGTGATTAGATTGTGATTATTTTATTCATTCAAGTGTGTAGAGATCATTTTTTTCTGTTTGTTATTGAATTTTAAACTGGCCTTACCAGGACCTGTTGATGTTTCCAAATGCGAGGCCACATGGAAGTTTGAAACCAATGTATGGCAGATATTCTCCAAGATGGAAACTTTTATACATCAGAAAGATCAATATGGGAACCCTGCTCCGGGATTCTATGAATTTGACACCAATGTTGTTGAAAAGGAGATGAATTTGTCTATACCTCTTGCAGATATGAGCTTTGACGAGGTGATGCCAGGAATTCAGTTGTGTTCCTTCAGTCTGTTGGAACCGGGAAACTTCTTGCTCACTATATCTGACACAAAACATAATAGAAGCATCTCCAATATGCCATTTGCTTTTAATGTCTTTATAGGTCAGGGTGACATTCTGCTAAATTTGATGTTAAACAATCTTTTGCTGTCAGTGGTGTTTAGCCCTTTCGGTGTTCTAACCATCTCTTCTGGACATACCTTTTGCTCTTAATTTTTTTCTCGAAATGAACTATTTCCCCTCCAGTTTTTTAGGTCCAAAGATAGGCTTTCTTTTTTCCTTGTCTTTAAGCATAGATGTTTCTTCATGCTTCAATTGCGTACACCAAAGTTATATTTTCTTTCTGAAGTGACACTCAGTTTATGTTTTAATTTGAATAGGTTATGCTGATGGATCAGCCAGTATTGTCAATGGATCCGGTTTAAATGATTCCATTGCAGGAGAAATTGCACAGTTTTTACTTTATTTGAATGATATTTTTCAATATCCATCTTTCGTCAGAGTAGAAAGCATTCGAGTGCAGATAGTAAGGGAAACTGATTCATATTCGGTACAGCCAAGCATCTATCCAATTGTTAATGGTATATGAAATTTAATAATCATTAAGTTGTTTCTTCTTTATGAAAAAAATTGAAAAATTGACAAAGAAGCATGAAATAGGATCTGTATCTACTGAAAAACTGAGCAATAGTTCTATCAGTCCAGCAGAACTTGCTCTCGGAGCACCATCAGAAATTACTCCTGTATCCTCAGTTGATCTAGGAAACATTGTAAGATGTCGATCTACATATTTTCTTCAGGTGGTTGTACTGCATATTCTAACCTTTCCCCTTTTCGATACAGTCTACTGGACACTCAAAAGTTCTTGCCAATGCTTTTAGTGTGATTTATATTCCTGAAAAGAGCGGAATCTATCAAATTTATGTGTTCTGTGGAAATGTGTTACTGAATGGTGGCAATTCATTCAGAAAGGAAGTAAGAGCAGGTATTGTCACATTTAACCTTGTTATAATTTTTCCTTCCCATTCATCAAGAAAGACTTGTTCTTTATGATTTGATCATTTCTTGGTATAGTATAAGGTCAAATTCTGAACTTCCAATTGCTAGTCATAAATGTAATTGAGCTTTGTTCTTGTTCTGCATGAAATTTCGTGATCACAATGGGTGTAACTGCATCAATTTCTTTACTACAAAGAGGCTTCTACTGTGCTGTAGGTGGGGTTAATGTATCACTTTCGACAATTGAGAAATTTTCTTCAAAGGTGCCAAAGATGATTGAAAATGAAATAGCAGTGCAGCTGGTGGATTCATTTTCTAACCCTGTCCTATCCCAGCAGTCAAGACTGACACTAGAGATAGCTTCAGTTAACAAGTCTGGCTTTTCAAGTGGAACGTTTGTGGAAAACAATAATGGTACATACAGTATTCGATACGCGGTTAAGGATGTAGGAACATATGAGATGTGTGTTTCATTTGACGGCAAGCGTTTGTCACCCTGCCCCTTCGGGGTCAACGTGTATGGTGGTAAATTATATAGCTCTCCTTCATTATAGACAATCATCAAAAGTTATGTTCTGAATTTGGATTATTCGTGTTTAGCTCTTCTTTGTAAATGATTTATTTCTGTCACTGCTTCAATTAGTATTTTACTTTTTCTGTTTTGGTTTTAAATGAGGATATAATAGTTTCCTGTCTAAGTTTTTTTCGTCATCATTCAGTTGAATATTTTCCCAAGGCCAATGATGATAAAATTTCAGTTTGGGAGGATGAGTCTATTGCTTTCGATGTTCTGGAAAATGACTACTTTGAAGGCAACAATGCAAGTATTGTTGAATCATCAAAAGTAAGTCAAGAACTCCCAAGTTTTTACTTACAATAATACAATTGGCCCCGACTCCATCTCTCCCTCTCCCCTGTTCTGTCAAGTAGAAGGGCCTCTTACTTTTCCTGTTCTTTGATGTTCTTCCTCATGTAAAGTATATTCCGCTAAATGTCTGTCTCACATACTAAATTTAAGGAGAAGTTTCTCAGTTTGAACGAGAAATTAGGAGGTTTTCGAAAATACTGAAACTTAAGTCCATGCATTGGTGATTCCTTAATCCAAAATCTTAATGTCAATACTTGCTATTTTTATGTTAGATATTATATCACTAATTCCTATTTCAAGTGTAAGATTATGCTTAATGTTTTCTTCGGAAGAGTTTGCTTGGAAAACTCACTTAACTGCTATGCAATGTGCAATGTCAGCCAGATCGTGGTTCGCTTTTACAGAATGGACATGTCTTTAGATACACTCCTTATAAAGATTATTATGGGAATGACTCTTTTGCATACACAATATCTGATGTAAATGGAAACCTTGCTTCTGCTTCTGTAAAAATTTCTGTTCTCAACATCCCACCTCAGTTTATTTCCTTTCCGACCCAGTTGCAAGCAACTGAAGATATGATAAGTCCCAGATACGGGTAAGTTATCATCCATCGCTGAATATTTACTTGCACAATATTTGAAAGGTTTCTTTTGGCTCAATCAACCCAGGATGCTTGGTCTTTTTTAATCATCACTCCCCTCATTGCAGTGGTTTCTCTGCGTTTGTGATAAAATACTCAGATCCAACGGAGAAAATCTCTGTCACTCTCAGTGCGCGATTTGGGACTGTGTTTTTGTCTCCTGTGCGGATGCAGTTTTGGCAGCCAATTTGGGTTGAATTTTCTGTAAAGAAAGGGGTTGATGCAGCTAAAGATTTAATCTTAGAAGGCTGTGTAGAAGCAATCAATCTAGCCCTTCAGTCGATCCAATATCTTGGGTATATCAACTACAGAATCACAATCTTTTCGCCTTATAGTTTCTCCATTATGCATTTAATTCTCTAAATTCTATGTTATTGGTAACTTGTTTTTCCTTACTTTACTTTAATCAGAAGTGAGAATTTCTACGGGGATGATGCTATTCATGTTTCTGCCAGCAACATGAATGGAAAGAATGAGTTGGATGTTCTAGTTTCAGTGGAACCTGTCAACGATCCTCCGATCATTAAAGTCCCTAAATTTATCACACTGAAGAGTGAAGACAAATCTCTGATCTTCGATAAAGCTATAGACAACTTTGAGTTCTCTGTTGGTGATCCAGACCTTCTTGGATACCCTGGTAGATATGTGAACATTTTGTTTAGCCATCGAAATTACTTTGGAACTAGACATTTCTGTTTGTATAACTAGCTTTTAAGAGTCATGTAGTACAATTGAAAGAAATGTTGTCAGGGACTTGATTTTCTGCGTATGGGTCATTTTGCAGGCAATGAGTCCCAATTTATAGTCACATTTTCAGTGGAAGTAGACAAGGGATTTTTAGTAACCAGTCTAGCATCTGAGCTTCTTAAGACAACTGAACTTAAGGTGATGAGTAGTTATCAGTGGCAACCGATACAGACATACGTTTCTATCTCAAGACATTTTATGGTCAAAGCTAACGGAGTCAGATTTCGGGGGCCGCTTAACGAATGCAACAGTGTCATGCAGCAACTGTCCTATGATGTGAGTAAGCTTCTTTTATGTTGGTTGTTGAAGGCTAAGGGGAAAAAAATGTTTCTATAATGTGATTCTGGCTCATCCCATATAGGAAGTGACAGTGTTAGGGGCATCAACTTAACTCAATTCACAAAAATGCTGTTTCAATGAAGCTGGCAATCATCCTTGGAAACTATATTTTTTCTATTCCTTTCTCTTCGTGGGTGCAGGGTGGAGAAAATGGTGCCATTTTGACGGTGAAATTAAATGATATGGGACATTATGGTTGTTATTCAGACTGCACCGAGAAGATTGCAGCGCCTTTATCCGCTGAGGCTACTGTACATCTTATCCAAAGAGGGCTAATGAGTTCACTGTCAGCTCATAGTAAGTATCAACATTTTCAGCAACTAGATGTATTTTTTTCTTAATGGTACAACCAAAATGTGTACCTGCAGAAGGATCAACGGCTAATGAACTCACCATCTTTTTACTCCATTGATGCAGCCCTTGGATCGGTTATCGTAGTTGAATTTCTTATGGTGCTTTCTCTTGGAGGGCTTCTTCTATTCTTTACATGCAAATGCGCAATGCATCTTGTAAAGGAAAGAAGAAGCATTAGTGTCCAGAATTCTCAGCTATCTAGTATGCAGAATTCCCAGAAAAAAACTGTGAGTGCCTTCATATATCTTAGCTACAAAACGAAAAGTGGAAATTAATTTTGAGTACTTCATTTGAAGCTCAAGTTTCAACCTGACAGACATTCTTGAATCATTCATGTGCAGTCAAGTACAGATTTTTCTGAGGATACAACAAACTTCACTGGCTGTTGTTCAAGCCCCTTCTTGCTTAGTGGCCAAACTTGTAACTTTCGACAACGGTGACTATCTAACAAATAGAGCAGGATGATTTTTGAGTTTATTTATTCCTCATTTCATTTATTTTTGTTCTCAGCTTCAATAACATCTAACCATCCATACGTTGTGCCAATTTGCAGCTCCAATCAATGTTTAGGAATTGAAAAACCTGGCAAAAACATAAGTAGCTCTCCTCGATCTTCTAGCAACCACCATCTACAGACTCCACCTGGTCTTACCCCACTCTCTATTGAGAAGAATCAAAAGCAAACAGTTAGATCTGTTCTATGAACTTAAACCAAGTGAATAAGGATGAGACATTGTACTATTGTAGCACTTGAAAAGCACATTACATGGTTTTACTACTGCTTTTTCTGCTAATAGTAACGATAATTAGATGGTAGCAGAATGAGAAACAAGTTGAATAATTTATAAAAAGCACATTAGATGGTAGCATAATTGCTCCAACTTGTAATGTTTTCCTGATAATTCTCTCAAAATCACTTCCCAGAAAATCTCTTTTCTGAGACATTTCAACGTCTAACAAGTAACAACAATGAACTTAAAACAAAATAAGTTCCTTTGCAGGTGATTTATTGTAATTTCTATCCCCACACAAAATGTGCTTATAATACAGATTGTAGTTTCAGCTAAACTTTTGAATCGCTTGAATCTGAATAAAGTAAAAAATACATTCAATTCAAATCTAATGGTCTAATGTCCGTAAATGTTAACCGAAGAGGCATCCTAGCAAACCCCTTTTTAGAATGTCATATATTGTTCATCTATAAGTTGCAGCAAGACAAGAAATTTGAAAGGCTGCTGGATTAAAAAACATCTTCAAATTAAATAGAAGTAAATCAAAATGAATTTATATATATAAAGGTTACACATGATTCCATGGGCACAGTCAAATGAAACAAGCAAGCTTGAACTCTGAATTATTTACACATGAAGCATCTAAAGGTTACCATTACAAATCACCATGATGTTTTTCAACCTTTTTATAACTAAAATAGAGAGCACCATTGATCTATCACTTTCTCGGCATATGAGCTGAGTATTTCATACTATATCGATTAACATGCTTTTTCAATCAGGTTGATTGATTCCGTAGAATCACCAGACATTGATGATGACCATCCTTCGTCACCATTTACACAGAGAGATTGTTCTGAAGGAAAAATGTGACTATCAAGAGATCCATTAGGCATGAACTCATACACAAGAGCACGCTTTGATCCTTCGGCACAAAAACCAATGAGTTGCACTACATTAGCATGATGAATCCTTCCAATGGTTGCAACTTCATTGATGAAATCTTGACCATTAGCCTTGGACTTGCCCAACATCTTTACCGCTGCTAAACGAGCACTGCGAAGCTTCCCTTTGTACACATTACCGAAGCCTCCTTCACCCAATTTGTCCTTGAAGCCCCCTGTTATCTTCCGAATGTCTGAGTAAGAATACCTTACCGGCATCAGGTTGCTGAGACTTTGAAGGTATTCTTCAACTGTGTCATATGCTGATAGATGCCTTCGTCGCCATTTATAAATAAGAAATGCAATCACACATGGAGTCCCACATACAACTTTTAGCCCATGAAGTAGCGCTGCACAGGAATATTATGGCAAATATTCAGGACAAAAATCATCTGCTTCTATCAACATTTTGTGCCTAGTGGAAAAAATATTAACATCATCCAGACTTGTACTTGAGGGACATCACCCCCACTTAATGTGAGAGGCCTCAGGAGTCAGGACCCATTTTCAGAATTGCATAGCCAAGAAGAGTTCTTACCTAAAAGAACGAGTATAGAAGGGAGAAAATCTTCAGAAAGGTAATGAAAATTACTATTCCTGATAGAAAGATTTATTTATATAGTTGGAAATAAACATGATAAGATGCAGAGAAAGAATCCTTACATATGATATATTCAAGTAACAAATGGAATTGGCTTTCTCCCTGGTAGTAGGCTGTTACAAAATTAAATGTTAATTAAGTGTTAGTTTGTATCTTTTCTGCCACTTTCTTGATGGCTTTTAATCTAATCTTATCGATTCTGATTAAAAAAAAAAAGAGATAGTTAATTATTGATTTAGCTTTGAAAATTACCGCACCAATCGCATTCAATGCAATTGTCAAAGTTAACATAAATTAGCAAAAGTATTGAGATCAAAGAAAAAGATGCAACCCAACCCAAAACAAACCACTCCTAGATTTATTTAAGTCGGCCGCATTACATGGAAATTCCAAAAAAAAAAAGTGATACTCACAGGAGTAAAAGCATCGAGTATGGTTTTCCTCGTCCATGTAGCAACCAACCACCTACGCAACTTCCATATGCCAGATCACTGCGTATTTCTTTGAAGGAAATGTTCTTGTAGTCCTTGTTCGGAAGCAAAAACATCTTCTCTATGCTAGCTGCACAGTTCCATCAAATCTGAGATGTTCATAACACCAACATTCACATAAGAATGTGTGCGAAGAGAAATGTTGGATGAGTTTGTTCCATAATTAAGGCAAGAAGCAGTGGCCACATAAAGAGGAGACTTCACCGGATTTGCACAGTTCATGAAAATCATAGTCTGTGATAATAAAGTCCGAATATCTGGCCATCCATTCCATTTGTAGTCATATGATGCATGCGGATCTCCATTAGTACTGAAGTTTCCATATGCCAAAGGAAAACGAGGAAGGGAGGAGCAATTGTCTTTTCGTACACCAGCATCAACCACTCGGATTTTGTGAAGTTATCGTAGTTGATCGCCTGCACGTAGTATTTACCATAATACAAATACAATAGTACCGTACGTAGAAGTATTGTTCTCGCAGTTTAGGGTGTAGAGAGGATGTTTTTTCTTCTGAGACAATTGTCAAAGATACTCTTTGCGCAGTTTTGTGGATCACTGTCTAGTCTAAAAGGATAGCTAATGTTTTGGATATTGCCACATGAAGAAGGGGGACAAAGACAGCTATTATCAGTACTAGAATGACAAGTTTGGAAGAGTAGCAGCTGGAAAATTGGGAAGGCCTGGTAACTAGCAAGTAGGAGCCTGCAACTTCCTCTAAACATGGGGGCAGAGAGTGGGGGTGAAGAGAGACAGAGAGAGTTCGTGCATAAAAAATTCCTCTAGTCTTTCTTGAGAGCTGTAAGACATTAAAACTCAACCAATTATTTATATGTAGGTAAGAAAATAAAGCAAATTGCAATGAGAAGGTGTGCTCCCAAGGTGATATGTTTTATAGATTGAAATTTTCTCTAACATTTCGATATAGATTTAATAAACATGATTATTATCATTATTATTAGTATTGGAAAAATAGCCCAATATGTTATTATATAATAGAGTAAATTTTCAGTTTGTTCTGATATCCTTAATTGGAATAATTTCATCCTCATAAAATGATTAAGTTTCTAATCTGGCATTCTCTTAACTTTTTTCGTTTAAATTAATTAAATCACTCTTGTGCATAACTTAATATTATACATAAATGTTAATTATGTTATTTAAATGTTAACTAAACAATGGTTTTTTTTTTTTGGGTAATTCAGGTATCCCATTCTATATTGAAAAGAGAATTAATTTTGTTTGAAATGCCAATGACAAGCTTTAATCCTTTCCAACAAGTATGACTTTAGAATTCAAACTTTACATATCGATAAAAAATTTGCAAAAGACTAGCTCGTTTATTATTGGAGCAACAACTTATTGATTAAAACAATGAAAATATTTATATTGAAAAAGGTTATCATTGAAGTGGAAAATTTAAGTACATTTAACATTGAAATTCTAATATGATTAACCGAGATTTAATATGCATGATTACTTAGGCTATACCCAAACCGATATGATTCAACTTTTCCCAGCCAAGAAATGGTTACTTGAATCTGCTAAAGAAACTAAAGAGATTATAGCTTAGTAGTAATAGTCTCTTGTAACAAGAGATCATGGGCTTAAATCCTAACATACTAATCTATTATTAAGAGAAAGGCTCTATTATAGCCTAGTAGTAGTAGTCTCTTATAACAAGAGATCACAGATTTAAATCCTAACATACTAATCTATTATTAAGAGGCTTGGGTGCGTGAGTAAACAAAAAAAAAAAAATCTGCTGAAGAAATGAACTTCTGTTGTGAAATCATTCGGCAAGTACTCATAAACTAGAGCTCGTCTAAATCCATCAGCACAGAAACCAATCAAGCGAACCACATTGACATGGTGGATGCTAGCCATTGTTCCAACTTCATTGACGAATTCCTCTCCATTTCCTGTGGAATTGTTGAGCAGTTTAACTGCTACTGTAATTTCATTGGTTAACTTTCCTTTGAACAAAGTTCCATATGCTCCTTGTCCCAATTCCTCCCTGAATTGATTGGTGATCTTCTTGAGATCAGCGTATGTGTATCTTGTTGGATTCATAGCTCTGTAATCATCCAGAAAGCTCTCAACCTTGGCTTCATATTCTCTTTCTGTTCTATTGAAACTATAGATGCGGTAGAGTGCAATGATTCCCGGCACCACAAGAAAGATACCTAAGATTATACCTGCATATAAGCATTCCAAGTCAGAAACAGATTTTCCATTTCTTCACATATCGATGGTTTCGAACTATGTGGTGTGGAATTGATATTGATTAGACAACTAACCTGCACCCAGTAGCTTTTTCGACCAACGACCTGTAAAAGAGAATGATTTCGTTACACTATCGCCTTCAGGAACTTTGTATGAATCACTATACCAGCAATCAAACCTTTTGTCTTAATTAGTCTCCGTGTTCTTTTCCATTTATGAACTATGAGTTAGATCTATAGACCATGTTACTATCTTTCATATCATGACGTGTGATTCATATTTTTAATAATAATTTACTAACCAAGCAAGAACAGAAGCGTTTCAAGTAATCAAGCTATAAATTAAAGGGGTATTCAAAAAGAAAAGGGAAAAAAACGAGCATACATTCCTCTAATGGAATTGTCATAACATTCAGTTTCAAGCTTGGAGCTGTAATCCCTTAATCTACACTTTTTGCCTTTTGCTTCACAAGATCCACATTTTGGATAGCACCAAAACAGAGGAAAGGTATAATTGCCTTGGAACGACATATAAACTGGAACTGAAAAAATGTCGAACATCTTGGTACATGATAATAAATCAGAGTCATCAACAGAATGATATGAATTAACAGCAAGAACGTCATAGTTGAGAGCACTAAGACAAGGGATAGGAAGAAAGTATCCATATCTTTCCTTATCCGAAGAACAATTGAATAGGGTGTAGTTAGCAGTATCACTATTCACCATTTGGAAGCAAGAAGCAGATAAATTGAAGTTTAAGCGTTGTCTTGCTGGACATTCTCGTGCGTAACTTGCTGTCATAACTTGTTTATTATAATCAATACTTTCAATGTAGAATTTGATGGAAGCTGGAAACTCGAGTACGGTATGATTGCTCTCTGAGCATGACAGATCAAATCCAGGATAGCCACAGTGCTCTGGTTGCCTGTTCTTGATTCGAAATGGGAATCGAATGTCTGGGCCATTCCTTCCAAATCTTGATTCTGTGCAATTAAGGCCTGCTACTCCATAGTCTGCAAGGACTATGATGACTATTATTATTATTTAAATATTAAAATAATTAGTTTTTAAAATATTAAAAGATAATTAATTCATTTATTAAAACTAAAAGGACTAATGTGTGATTTAGTCTTTTATTATTCTATTTTGTCTGCATGCATAAATTCAAAGGCTACAAAGCAAATGATGTTTTAATTGAATAAATTATATATTTTTTTTTAGTTTGAAAAGATAAATTAGGTGGTGTTTATTGTTTTAAAAATTTATTATTATTTTATAAATTTTATGTTATTTTCTAATTTGTTTTTCTAAATTAGTTATGATTGTAATTTTTATGGACAAGAATCACATCAATAACAAAATAATAACTATTATTATGATTCGCCACGATGATTATTTAAAGATGAATATTTTATAATATGTTTATTGAAATTATAGTTTTTTTTTTTATTTATCTATTAGAAGTGTTATTAATTATTATTATTTTTTGTAATAAATTCAACTATTATTATATGATATTAAACTATTAGAAATGTTATTACTTATTAGTATACTTAATTAATAAAACGAGTTAAAAATATATTAATTAGAATAAACTTATTAATAGCTATTAATATATTTAGAACATCGATTGCCATACCGTTAGTTTACTACTGTAATAAGCTGCAATTCTCAACTCTGATTGTGATAATTTTTTTAATTGCGATTGTCGGTTAAAACTATGGTGTCTAGTAGCAGTTTTCGCACAAAGCAGACAATGAGTGTCATGCTACTTCATTGTCGAATTTAATTTCCCACCAGCTTCTTCCTGTTCATGACAAAGAACCATCAACTTTGAATTGAGAAGAAAAAAGTCATCAACTATCAACACCACAAGCATCGACATCCCATAGCCTCATTTTTCTTGGAGCCTGTCATGAAGACCAAAACTCCCAATATTCCCAGTCCAACTCCACCAGATATTCCTAGATATGCTTCCTTCCCTTGTAGGGTAAGCATAGCGATCGGTGTGCAATAATCCCAATTCCCAATAGCATATGAACAAAGAAAAAAGCCCCAAAATAAAGTGATTGATTTGGAATATTGGTCCTCACTTGAAGTTTCGCAGAGGTAAGATACAATATTCTCAAGTCATTGATTGGAACATTGATCAATCACTCGAAGTTTCACATAGCAAGACTTTTTTATCATGCAGTTGGCTGACTACCAGTAAATAGCTAGATTGGTCTATGTGTGAATTTCTTCTAAGCTTCTTGCTTTTCACATGGCAAGACTTTTCCTATCATGCACGCTACTCCAAGTCAATGATGAAGAATTGTAGGCCTATTCTTAGTTATTTCTTAACATCATTGCTCCTAATCCCTTCTGGCCTAACCATAAAGAATGCAATTCATGTATTTAAAATCCAATTGTTAGAATCGAGTTACATTCCCAAATTAAAAATGTTTCCATACGTAGGCCTATTCACATTAGTGCCAAAGGATCTCTAAATAAGGAGTAAATTAATCAACCTATGTCGATCCGTTAATATGAGCATGTTTTTTTTTTTCCCCTTCATTTTAGCAAGTGAGAATGCTTGTATTGACTGGACTTAATATTTTTTGGCTACACTTACTGCTTGCGTTTTACTATAATGACTGGAGATTTTTCAAAAACAGCTGATTGATATCATTATCTTTGACAATATGCAAAGAACATGGAGTAATTCAAGTAAAAGAAGTCAGCTAGGACTTTTAATTAGTTATTTATACAACAAGAAAATGAAGGGAGAAATTACAGACATAAAGTTTAGCATAATAGCACTGAATTTGAAATAAAATTAAAGCAAAGAGCACATTTCTACTGTCATCTATGGAAGAAGCCTTCCCCTGGAAATTGGCAGAGTTTCTCACGCCACAATTCTTAATATGCATTTTCAACCAAACTTGTAGATTCTGTAGAATAATCTGACGAAGTTGATGACTCTTGTCCGATGTTTACTGGCGTCTCATATGGATCATGGAGGACAGGCTTTGGAGGTAATTGCAGGATTTCCAGATCTCCTTCAAGCATCTCCACCACTTTGTTCATTGCAGGGCGATTCATAGGTTTCATTTGTATACACCACAACCCTACTATGACCATCTTCTTAACTATCTTAGCTTCAACCTCTGTGGCATCATCTCCAATCTCTATATCCTTTCCATTAGAGACTTGGTCATAAACCCAATGTGGCCAGTAAATTTGGCTTGAATTTTCTGCCAATGCGTTAAGATTCTTCCTTTTGCCTGCCATTTCTAATAGCAACATTCCAAAGCTATACACATCGGCTTTATGCGAAACGCGTCCGATGTTTTTATAGAACAATTCCGGCGCCATGTACCCTATTGTGCCCCTTGCTGCAGTAAGAGATGTGATGCTGCCAACTGTTGGGTACAACCTAGCAAGCCCGAAGTCAGAAATTTTTGGAGTGAAATGTTCGTCGATAAGAATGTTGTGAGGCTTGATATCAAAATGTAGGATTTGCATCTCACGGCCTCGATGTAGATATTCGATACCACGAGCCACACCAAGGGAAATCTCAAGCAATTTTTCCCGGTTTAAAGATACGGATGTCTCTTGAGAAAATATGAAATTATTAAGAGATCCATTAGGCATGAAATCATATACAAGAGCACGCTTCGATCCTCTCGCGCAAAAGCCAATTAGTTGCACTACATTAGCGTTGTGAATCCTTCCAATGGTAGCAACTTCATTGATGAAATCTTGTCCATTAGATTTAGACTTGCCCAAGATTTTCACTGCTGCAAAACGGCCACTACGAAGCTTTCCTTTATACACGGAACCAAAGCCTCCTTCACCCAACTTTTCCTTGAAACCCCCGACCATCTTCCTAATCTCCGAGTAAGAATACCTCACCTGGCATGAAGTTATTGTTACTCCGTAGGAACTCTTCAACTCGTGTCATATACCGACGGATGTCTTCGCCTCCATTTATAGATCAAAAATGCAATTACACATGGAGTCCCGACGATAACTTTTACCCCATGAAGTCGTACTTGCATAGAAAATTTCGACAAATATTCGGGACGTAAATCATAAATAGTTGCTATTAGCATCTTGTGTCTACTCGTCTAATGGAAAATATCAACTACACCATCGATACTTGTATTTGAGGCACACGAACCCCCTCACTTAACGAGAGACGCGTCGGTTTCTAATTTGCGGAAGTTGTATGTATAGAAAGACAAGGAGAGTTCTTGCCTAATAATTTGAGTGCATACATGAGAGAATCTGCAAAAAAAAAAAAAAAAAAAAAAAAGTTATCGAAGATTGCGGTTGATTGTAATCTTGATTGATAGAATTGCTTGCACATTAGAAATAAACAAGAAATAATCCTTACAACCGATATATATGAGTACCAATGCGGGAGCCGTTGCAAAAATTAGGACAAAGCATAAGTACGAAACAAATATATAAAGAAAAAGAAACATGTATAACAAAGCACACCCGAATTTATTCGAGGCGGCCACATTACATATTCATGGACGGAAGACTCGTCGGATTTACCAAGAAAATATTTGAAGAATTACTATAAATAGTATAAAACACTAAAAGAAACTTTGATTACGCACGGTACTGTAGTCCTCGATGCATTTAAGATGGTTTGCGGTGTCGACGTAGCAACCCTCTCGTGCAATTTCTACAAAAAATGGCATACCACGAAAGCTCAAACCCATATGAGATGTCATTTTTAGTTAGTGTCATATGGGCCAAGTGGGAGAATGTAAGAAATATTCTATAGTATGGCTCATATGTCATGTTTGTTTTAAACCTATAAATGACTATTTCAAGACTTAGAGCCCAATAGACTTTAGTAGTGGGCTAGGCACATCCATGATGGATGGAGGTGCAAAATTAGGTTAAAAAAAGAGTCTCCGGTCTAGCCATATAAATAGTAAGTAAAGCCTGTGTTTTCCATCAACACACAAAACCCTAAAGTATTGGCATAGACTAGAAGGCTCTCTCTCCCCTTGGCGACTCCGACTTTCTTTCGACAATATCTTGAGCACTTAATCAATCATGGCGGGAGGTATGTATCCTATTAACTTCCGTTGCGCTTATATGCATAGGCATATTATTTAATTTTTAACGATAAATCCTTCCAATGGTAGCAACTTCATTGATGAAATCTTGTCCATTAGATTTAGACTTGCCCAAGATTTTCAACTGCTGCAAAACGGCCACTACGAAGCTTTCCTTTATACACGGAACCAAAGCCTCCTTCACCCAACTTTTCCTTGAAACCCCCGACCATCTTCCTAATCTCCGAGTAAGAATACCTCACCGGCATGAAGTTATTGTTACTCTGTAGGAACTCTTCAACTGTGTCATATACCGACGGATGTCTTCGCCTCCATTTATAGATCAAAAATGCAATTACACATGGAGTCCCGACGATAACTTTTACCCCATGAAGTCGTACTTGCATAGAAAATTTCGACAAATATTCGGGACGTAAATCATAAATAGTTGCTATTAGCATCTTGTGTCTCTTGTCTAATGGAAAATATCAACTACACCATCGATACTTGTATTTGAGGCACACGGAACCCCCTCACTTAACGAGAGACGCGTCGGTTTCTAATTTGCGGAAGTTGTATGTATAGAAAGACAAGGAGAGTTCTTGCCTAATAATTTGAGTGCATACATGAGAGAATCCGCAAAAAAAAAAAAAAAAAAAAAAAGTTATCGAAGATTGCGGTTGATTGTAATCTTGATTGATAGAATTGCTTGCACATTAGAAATAAACAAGAAATAATCCTTACAACTGATATATATGAGTACCAATCGGGAGCTCGTTGCAAAAATTAGGACAAAGCATAAGTACGAAACAAATATATAAAGAAAAAGAAACATGTATAACAAAGCACACCCAAATTTATTCGAGGCGACCACATTACATATTCATGGACGGAAGACTCGTCAGATTTACCAAGAAAATATTTGAAGAATTACTATAAATAGTATAAAACACTAAAAGAAACTTTGATTACGCACGTACTGTAGTCCTCGATGCATTTAAGATGGTTTGCGGTGTCGACGTAGCAACCCTCCGTGCAATTTCTACAAAAAAATGGCATACCACGAAAGCTCAAACCCATATGAGATGTCATTTTTAGTTAGCGTCATATGGGCCAAGTGGGAGAATGTAAGAAATATTCTATAGTGTGGCTCATATGTCATGTTTGTTTTAAACCTATAAATGACTATTTAAAGACTTAGAGCCCAATAAACTTTAGTAGTGGGCTAGGCACATCCATGATGGATGGAGGTGCAAAATTAGGTTAAAAAAAGAGTCTGCGGTCTAGCCATATAAATAGTAAGTAAAGCCTGTGTTTTCCATCAACACACAAAACCCTAAAGTATTGGCATAGACTAGAAGGCTCTCTCTCCCTTGGCGGCTCCAGCTTTCTTTCAGCAATATCTTGAGCACTTAATCAATCATGGCGGGAGGTATGTATCCTATTAACTTCCGCTGCGCTTATATGCATAGGCATATTATTTAATTTTTAACGAGTAAATCCTTCCAATGGTAGCAACTTCATTGATGAAATCTTGTCCATTAGATTTAGACTTGCCCAAGATTTTCACTGCTGCAAAACGGCCACTACGAAGCTTTCCTTTATACACATAACCAAAGCCTCCTTAACCCAACTTCTCCTTGAAACCCCCAGCCATCTTCCTAATCTCTGAGTAAGAATACCTCACTGGCATGAAGTTATTGTTACTCTGTAGGAACTCTTCAACTGTGTCATATACTGACAGATGTCTTCGCCTCCATTTATAGATCAAAAATGCAATTACACATGGAGTCCCGACGATAACTTTTACCCCATGAAGTCGTACTGCATAGAAAATTTCTGACAAATATTCAGGACAGAAATCATAAATAGTTGCTATTAGCATCTTGTGTCTACTGTCTAAAGGAAAATATCAACTGCACCATCGATACTTGTATTTGAGGGACACAGAACCCCTCACTTAACGAGAGAGGCGTCAGTTTCTAATTTGCGGAAGTTGTATGCATAGAAAGACAAGGAGAGTTCTTACCTAATAAAATGAGTGCACACCGGAGATAATCTGCAAAGAAAAAAAAAGTTACAGAAAATTTAGTTGATGGTATTCTTGATTGATAGAATTGCTTGCACAACTAGAAATAAACAAGAAAGAATCCTTACAACTGATATATTCGAGTACCCATTGGACACGGTTTCGTCTGGCATAAGCTGCAAAAATTAGGCCAAAGCATAAGTACGAAACAGATATATAAAGAAAAAGAAACATGTATAACAAAGCATACCTGAATTTTTTGGAGGCAGCCACATTACATATTCATGGACAGAAGACTTATCAGATTTACCAAGAAACTATTTGTAGAATTAATTGAAGTGAGTATAAAACACTAAAAGAAACTTTGATTACGCACTGCTGTAGTCCTTAATGCATTTACGATGGTTTTTTAGTGTTGACGTAGCAACCCTCTGTGCAATTTCTACAAAAAATGCCATACCACGAAAGCTCAAACCCATATGAGATGTCACTGTAAATTTCTTTGAAGGACATATTCGTGTAATCCTTCTCCCTAAGCGGCATTCTTTTCACCATGCTACACCGTTCCATTAAATCTGAGGCTGTCGTACCCCCAAAAACCACATAGTAATGAGTTGCAGGAGAAGAGTTGGAAGAGTTGCTTACTCCATAATTAAGGCAAGGAGCAGTGTCCACATAAAGAGTTGAATTCACTGGATTTTCACAGTTGACGAAAATCACAAATTGATATAACGAAGGTGGCCTATATTTGCTCCATTTGTAGTAATACGGAGAAAATCGACCTTCGAGAGTACTGACGTTTGCATCAGCCAAAGAAAGGGAGGAGCAGTTGCCTTTTTGAATACCGGCTTCCACCACTCGGACTGTGAAATTTTCATAGTTGATTGCCTGCACGTAATATTTTACTGCATACAAGTACAATATGGCAGAAGTATTGTTCTCACTGTACAAGGTATAGTTATAGTTTCCGCAGTTTTTTGGATCAGTATCAAGTCTAAAAGGGTTGCTGATGTTTTGCATTTTGCCACAAGAAGAAGGTGCACAATTACTAGAATGACAGGTTTGGACTTCTAGCAGCTGGAAAAGAAAGGCTATGTAACAAGCAAAGAGAAGTCTTCCTCTAAACATGGGGAAGAGGCAGATAGAAGCACAAAGATAGACGGAGATCAGAGAGTTTATCCATAAACGATTTCAATGTCAATAGTTCACAGACAAGAAAAGCTGAACGTGAGTGGAAATTCAGTAGCTAAATTATGGGGACCATAATGCTTTTTTCAAACTTTTGGAATGGCCCCTCGTCAATGGCTTACAATAAAGCAACACCATGTGGAAAATTATTAATTGACTGACAATAAAGCAACACCATGTGGAAAATTATTAATTGACTGACAATAAAGCAACACCATGTGGACCATAATTCTCAGGTGCCATCAACTCTCAACCCCACAAACTTGTACATCTCGCCTTGGAAAATTCGAAGAAATTTCTGTGGTTGCATGCCACAGGGGAAAATTCGAACATTGACTGACTTATGGTATGACAAAATACAAACTACGTCAAAGCTACCCTTACTCTCTAATGCTTACTCACTTGTCTAACAAAATAGGCTGAAAGGCCAAACCTATATCACCATATACAACTAAAATCATTGCAGGCCAAGATGAAATACTTTTTCAACTTATTTTTCATGGTGGCACTTGCAGTTCATGGAGCAGCGCTGAATTGCACCGCATCTTGTGGGAACCATGGCCCTGTCATCCGATTTCGATTCCGAATTAAAGACAAGAAACCAGAATACTATGGCTATCCTGGGTTTGACGTATCCTGCACAGAGCACAACTATGCAGTGCTTGAGCTGCCAACTTCAGTGAAGCTCTACATTCGTAGCATTGATTATGAATCTCAAGTTCTAAAGGTAAAAAT